GCCTGTTGAATCGATAGTTAAGTTGTCTGTAGCTCCACGCTGAGTTACGCTGACAGTTAGCTGTGGGTTAGTATAACTCTGAGCCATACGGGAGTGGGAACTAGGAGTGGTGTTTATTGTAAACTGCTAGTGGTCCCAGCGTTCCGGTGGTCTTCCTAGTGCAGTACAGCGATCGTGGCGAAATTGTTTTCGGAAATGCGCAAACACTAATTGCTGCAGCGCAAATTCACCCTAATTGGCGAAATTGGCGAAACTATCTGTATGCTTATGCGAATTCGGGCGCCCCAGCCTATGACTGAGTGCTAAAATAGGTGATGGTCTGACGCTAACCCACCTATCAGCCGCGCCTCGAAGGCAGACTTCTCGTACAAGGTCAAATGTAACTGCCACCTGAGCCCAGAATGTCATTGACACAGGCGTTTTACGCCCGCGCGCCTATGCGCGGCCGCGCGGCCGCGCATAATTTCGCCAGCCTGCGCAAACTCCTCCGTTTGCGCGAATATGCGCAAGCTAATGCGCAAACCTAATTGGCGAAATCAATTAGGTTTCGCCACGAACACTGCTTGGCAAGACTCTCCAATCACGACTCGGAGAAGCTCCGTCGTTCCGCAGGCGCTGGGTCCGTAACATAGATCCTTCCCCCCGGTGGGCATTTTGCTGACACAAATTTCACCATCGCAATCATATGGCTGTCACTGCCCGAGGATGACGCCGGACGCGAAGGTGTCGTACCAAGGTGCGTTACCAGAGATGTCATCGGGCGGTGTCTCGGCCGTCGATAGACGCTTTCTCACGATTTTCACAACTCATCTGAATCGTTCATTCTCGAATACCGCGTCAGCTTCTCGTTCGCGCCAAATTGTGGAATTTCTGAAACTGCCATATAAGCCTAGAGGCTAGGGCCCGTTATACCACTGTGTGTGCCGTCCGATTCTCAGATCGGTCGGTGTAAGAGTCACGATGAAGGATCACCGGGTTTTGAGGCTGCGCCCGTGCCTTTGTGCCTTAATAGTACAGCGACAACCTGTCATTGGATGCCACCATGCCACTGAGTGAGCAGTGATTTATACACCTAGGTATATCGTGAGGGATCGGACGGTGGGCCCTTTGGAGGGCCGTCAGGAAGTTGCCTCACGGGCCTGCAATCACCTTATGCATGTGTGCATCGGATGTAGGTCTCATGTAGGTACGATGGTCCCCGCCATGTTTGTGAAAGCAGTAACGATCGGGGCCGGGGGCCGCGGGAATTGATTGCGCAGAACGAGTTGAACCCGCATCCGATGATAATGCAAAATGTAGTGCAAAATGTCGGAACCACTTTTTGTCTTCTTGGCACTACAAGGAAAATATCTCGGACTTACCCAGGGATCAATTTGTCGGGCATGCATGCATTACCTGATCGATCCAATTGGCACGCGTTTTGTAACCCGATATGCCCGTCACCATTATAGATTCGACCCGGATAGAAGAGAGGATTATAATACATATACGAGGAGAGGTACTAATCATTACATGTTGTCATGAGTGAACGGCAATTGTTTCATTTACACGCATATCGACCATGCATGGAGGTTCAAATCTGCTTAAGGCAACGGGATCATATCGTGGATTAGATGATGGCAACAAATCAAAGCACCTTTACAAGACCGGTGACCATCGTCGTGCGTCATGCTTAAATCCTATTTGGGACTAGCTAGTTCTAAAGATTTTGCTCGAGCTAGCAGAGTGAGCCTGGAAACCATAGAGCGCCATACAGTCCCTTGAAACCATAGAGCGCCATACAGTCCCTTCGCAAGTCACCCAATTTTACAACGCAATCGAGTTCCACATGTCAGACCCTCACCTTCTGTGGACAATTGCGACCACGCCCCACATGTTCGTTGCCTCTTGGAGAACCATAGGTTTCTACACCTATCTGCGTCACTAAAACAAATGACATAGATCTACGTTCGAAAGGGGCGAGTATGCCTCGTGTAATCAAGTGCGCCCGTGGGCTTGTGAGTTTTCAGCTTATCCTAGCCGCTTCCCCATGCAACTAGGTCTTCTAACTCCTCCCTAACGGCAATATAACAGAACCGATATTGGTCCTGCATGAAAAATCAATTTTCTGCGGTTGGTGTCCTCTCTACAGTCGCTCAGGCAAGATGATGTCTCAAGCAAGACACTATGATACAATGACAAACAGCGACCTTTCAAGAGCGAGGAGACTGGACCGATCCGAAGATCGGCCCCGCTCCTTGTGCGCTTGGATTCCATATGTGTAGCAATTCAACCAACATCTGGGCACACAACTCGTATTGGGGAAAAAGCTTACGGCACTCACCCTAGTTTGGACCATGCCCCCCCGCAACGCCCGCAGCTTCTTCACCGTCTCCGCAATGTCCATGGCCGAAAGGTCCCCGGACAAAGCCCTCCGGACGGTGTAGTCCACCGTGAGGAACGTTCCGGACCGTCCGATCCCGGCGCTGCAGTGGATGACGATTGGCGGCGAGGAGGGGGGCAGGGACAGCCGAAGGTGCCGCAAAAGACCTCGGATGACGGACGTCGAGGCCGGAACCCCGTGATCCGGCCAGTCGAGGTAGTGGTAGTGGGGGAGGACGAGCGGGGGACTGGCGGAAGCCTGGTGCAAGAAGCGACGGGGTTTAGTATTCAAAGCTGGACAGAAACCTTACCGTGGTCGTTCGACGGGTACCTCTTGATGTGGGTAAAGCACTCGTCGAAAAAACTTTTCTCATTGTGCACCCGCATAAGCGAGATTTCTGACCCTGGGACTGTTTGAGGACATTCATCTTGGACGCGTATTCCTGTAACTTAACATGAGCTCTGTCGCCTCCTCTTCGAACAAGTCACGCCTTGTCCAACCAGCCGTTCGTCATTTCGTCACGGTTCCCTGGGACGTAAAAATCTATTGGCGCCCTGTACGAGGTGCCTTAGGTACCCCCGAAATATCCCGCTCTTGAGGCGGTTCTAAAATGGTACTTTTCTTGCCCACATCTTCTTACGTCCAGCATCTTGCTCGTAAGAGATTTGTGCCAGCCAGCCGCTGATCTGTCGCCAGTGCTTGCTCTCCACCAACAGTCTCTCTAAGCAGATTGCCCAATAATCTATGTCAGAAACACCGTTCTCGCCAACTTATCAGTTCCCTGAACTCCCCGTTTGCACAAGGCTGCTACCGACCAAACCCCCGTCCTTCATCGTCCATCACCTCTACCCCAGCTGACATTATTACTCGCGCTCTGCTCAGGAAGACTAAAAAAGTTACAAAAAACAGCACCAACTACATAATGTCTATGCAAACCACATCTCTGGAAAGGCTGCCAACGCTGAAGTAAGGGGTGTGATGCAACATCAGCCCGGTACTGGTTCCGAAACATTCTGCTGATTCCTTAAGTACTCTTTCCAGTATAAAGCAGCAAAGGTGCTTTCTCTAGCAGCTCCTTTGACTCTCCTAAAACGGAAAAATCCTTTGGGCCCTTCGAAATGAAATCCAGAACCTCACATACGTACGACGACGTTTGCGAAGACCTGAAACGGGCCTGTGCTCGAACAGGCTCGAATGCAAGCCCCCTCCCCGCCCCGCCCTTACCGTGCTAGCGACTTCGATCATTCGCCGGGCGATCAGGCCCTGTTGCAGGTACGTCACCTCCCGTGTCGCGACCACTATGTGCCCGTAGCGCTCCGCCTGCCCCGCAGCCTCGGGGAAATAGTGCGCGCACTTTGGCTGCACGGATCTCAAAGCCAGGGTTAGAAGGTGTGTACCAGAAAACGGGGTGGGTTAGGAGGTACGGGTTAGAGAGTGCACCTTGGTCTGCTTTTGTAACCTCCAGCCCCCGACACGCAATCACGCAGGGTCTGTGAAGTTCTTACGGGACTCTGTGTTGTATTGATGACAAGCGGGCAGATAAAGCGAAGCGGATGAGCTTGCTTAGACGGTGGTCTCATACCATGGTCCGCAAACTCTTTCCAAGGTCTGGGCTGGTTGGAAGAGTTTGGACTCGCGACCTTTGTCCCGAGTTTGGGCTGGTCGCAAAACGGACGAAGTTTCCGAGACGATTTGAGTGTTCACTGCCAAATCTGGTTTGCACTTCAGTCTCTGCTCAGGCGAACATGCGAGACGTACTTCTTCAGAAAGCCACACCAAAGGCCCTCAAAGAGGATATTCTTTCCGACTTCAGTGAAAGCAGCTAGAATATTTTTGGGCTGCGGATCTTGCAGGACGCATCAGCGCATCCACGCCAGGTGGGCTCCCGTTCCCTTACACGAGGTTCTTGAGGAGAATACTTCGCACGATCGATTTGAAAGCGAGACATCAACGCCAAGATGTGCGACCTTTCTGCTCAGATCTAACTCAAATTTGGCGCCAAAGTCGAGTTGAAGACTTTGCACTTTTCGTTGGCAAGAGATCACCAAGATGCTCAGCGGATCGCCCCCCCACCATTGATCGATTTGAGAAAGAGCATCTGGATCAGCGTCAGTCCACTCGTCACAGACAACGCCCGTCTTCAAAAAGGACGAGAGCCGCTCAGAGTCGACGTATGCACGAACATCCATGTATGTAATCTCCCATTAGAAACCAAGGGGGCCCCTCACTCTGTCCCTTTCTACCTCTCGCGTCAGCGAGATGATCGCCTGGCACCTCTGCTGAATAACCATGGCCCAGAAGTCCTCCGTGGTGGCGGGGAGCGGGCCCTGGGTGGCGATATACTTGGGCAGGTCGGGCCGGTCGGAGTCCTGCCGAGCAGAAAAAGAGATAAGCCCCAGAAAATCTGGGCTCGAAGACTGATAACTCCCCTTTCACTTGAGAGCCATTTCGCTCAGAATAGGCGCCCGGGAGACGGTTGTGTTAAGGTGGGTTCGGTTGCAGAGCACGTAATTATGTTGGATGGATTATGTTGATTTGCTTGCCCCGGGTAACACGGATTCAAGGTGCAATGGCTCTTAGGTGAGACGAGGATTGTAAGTATGGCTCAAAGACAAATTGGTTAAGGAACGCATTTATGATCCTGCTCAAGTGGTGAAAAAGGTGCGACTATTCAGCTTGGACGCGTAGCGGCCGGGTATGCAAGTTACTGGGGTTTTAAGTGCCCCGGAGGGACCGCCGAAATCAGACTCAGAGAGCCAGGGTTCGTAATCATGCCAGAAAGGCAAGGTGTCTTCTTCAGCTTCTTCTGTGAGGGGATAGCGCTATCAAAGCGAATGGCAAGCCCCGCATACATCGAATGCATACCCAATTTTTGGGGGGTTCGTTTAAGACAAGCGTGCTGGAGCGTATGGCAGCAAGGTGCTTCACGAGACGTGGATGTCGATCAGAAAGATCACGTTTGGAATAGGTCTTTCTAAAGCGAAGCACCTTGGGAGATTGTTCAAAGGATTCGACAAGGGCGCGGGCGATGAATGGGACCAGAAGATCCACCAATCAATCGACTATGTTCATAAACGGCAGTTACTAGTGATCCAATCCTCTCCAAACCAGGCCTAACCAAGAGCACTCAAATGGTAAGCTAGATGCATTGACAAGCAGACGGAGTTTCCGGTCAATTCCACCGTCCGAAGAGGGAGAGGAAGAAGGAAACTTACATAGACATAGCTGGCATTTATGTAGTCAGACGCTTCCCCGTTTGAGGACTCTGGTTGGAGCAGTACACGATTGTCGTCGACTGAGGCGGAGGGGAATCAAGGACAACAACCAGCAATCTGTCAACTAAGCAGGTTCCGACGGAGATCATACTAAAGTTCCTTCTGTTTGGGAAGGCTTCCAGATTCACAGCAGCCAATTTAAACAAGTGCAAACCTGCCACAACCGTCGGAACTGAGAGTCTGCAGACTTTTATAGCGCTTGTGCTAACGGGGGCCAGATGTGGGTCTGAAGTAAGCTGTCCTGTTGTTCAGGCGGAGTTGCACATGTGGCCAGGACATGCTTTCCAGAGCTGCTAGCTTTTCGGGCTTTGGAATGAGACAACTTTTGCCTGAAGGGGCAAACCGGTGGCACTGACTTGTATCTAACAAAGGCACCGGTGTTCCCATACTCTCGCCCGGTTTGCAACAAGGCATGTGAAACATTTCCAAGCAAGGAGAAACTGCAAATGACAGGATTGGCTGGGTGGCTTGAGGATACAAGGAAGGACGTCGAGGTATCGGTTTTTCTTGGAGTTGGCGGGGTCACGTGCGCACTGCATCACCTCCGTGTCTATCAGCAGACTGCTGGTGATTGTCTCTGCCTGTAGTTCATTCAGGAAAGAACACTGGTGTGAAAGATTGAACAGCGGAATGCGGTCTCCTTAGCCTTGACACTTGATACCCATCCTGAAAGCTACTGTGAGTGGCTCCGCCAGTGCAATGCTTACACGAGCAACTAAATGCTGGTATGTGTGCAGGAACAAGTTGCTGTGCACATGCGGTGCCATGTGATGCATGTGTGTCCCCTTTCATGATACTCCCCCATCAACTAAGAGCAACGAATTGACCAAGGGCTTAGGATAGCCAGTATCATTGCTGACAGAGCAAACCAGGGTAATACTGACCACCCTAGCAATCACCAAAGAAGGCCGCTTCTCTTATCATGAGGTGCTGATTCAATGAAAGAAGAACCAGTCTGCATCTCGATCACAGATGGAACTCCACACGCCAATCTGCCACTAGTATGCTTTGAAGCTCGAAACTGTACTGTGTTTTTGGAAAGCTGCTTGCAGAGCTTATCAAATTCTTCCTGAGTCAGCTGCTCTCATGGAACGGTCCATCCGCTGAGCAACCCTCCTTGATCGCACGTGCGACCTTCTTCGTGCAGGTGGCCAATGCAAGGACCAAAAGCCTGCTCTCACGCATTGACATAAGGAGCACCCGGCGATAAGTGTTCATTGGCTTGATTAATGAGGAATCCTCCTTTACTTGCAAGCATCTGAAACACCTACCAACTGAAAGTCGACATGACTACCTCACCTGCAGAGCAGAGTACTCATGTTCAACCCCATCATGTACACGCAGCCTCTCTTGCAGCACGGCCAATGCCGCTTTGCAGTTCTCCAGCTCAACCGGGGTCAGCTTCACTGGATCTTCCTCAAAGCTTGCCTTCCTCAAAGAGAAGGTGCCAACAGGGCTGGGGGTGGTTGGGCTCGCCGCGTGGCTGCCCCCCATACTGCCAGGTCTTGGATCTGCGAATGCTGAGCTAAATGCTGACTAGGCGTGCCTGCCACATCGCAGATGAGCTAAAAGGCAAGCAGTTCAAAACCTGCCACTTTTGATCAGAGATAATCTGTGCTTGCCTTCTTCCTGGTTCCAATGACACCAGGCAACGTTGACTCTGAGGGAGAATGAAGCAAGAGATTGCAGCTCCCAGGCGCTCCTCCAAAATCTTCTCCCAAAACGCTCCTGAAACAGTTTTGTGCCAAGTGGAGCAAAGGAACCGAAGAGACCGCCATTCCGCCTTCCGTTCTCATCCGCCATTTCCCGGGGACCTTATCGCGAGGTTAGCGGTACAAACACGGGTTTGCTCCGGTCGGCAGACTCAAGGACTCCTCACGAAAAGGCTTACCCTTTGACCTGATTACCGTAACCAGCTGGCTAATTCGACCGGGGGACTGCATTTTAGGGTTTGCACAGACAGACAGAGAGACGGAGGGGAGAGAGACTCGGAAGACAGAGAGGGGAATCGGAAGAGGCGCGACAGCCTACTTTGAACAATTTCAAGCTAGGTGGCCTCTTCCTGGAGCTTGCTAGGAAGTCGAACCACAGCCATTGGCACAGGGTTTTTGGTCAGGAGACGGACTAGAGATCGACACTAGGCCTGGGTGGCGAGCACGCCGGAGCAGGTATCATGAATGCTGTCACCGTGCGCTGCGCCGCCTCGGTTGGCGTCCGCTCCTTGGCCAGGGTTGGGGCGCTTACAAACCGGGCGGCAGCCACGCCTAGTTTCGTCCGGCCTTGTGGTTTCACAAGGATTGTGCAGAGAAAAGTGCACAGGGTTGCAAATGGGAGGCGGGAAGGGGCTCGCCCGGTAATGGCGGTTGCCGAGGCGGAGGTTGAGGAGGATGAGGAAGAGGAGGTGAAACCGGCCGCGCCGACAAGGGCAAAGAAGCAGACGCTGAGGAGCGTGCTATCAGGAAAGGATAGGGTGAGTCAGTGCTGGCTTTGGTGACTGAGCATTTGCTTCAGAATGTGAAGGTTTGATGGATGGATGGGTTGGGTTTGAGAATGTGGGGACGGATTAAGAGCTAAGGATGCTGGTAATGGTGGGAGTGTAGTGCTTCACAGTAAGCTACTACTTGTCGGAAGAGGGACGCAGCCTTGATGGTTTGTGAGCAGAAACGAGATGCAGCTGCATTGGTTCTGTCGGAAGCTGCCCACTCTTGTTACGCCTTCTTATCTTGAGTGAGCTAGGCTTGATTTCATAATAGCTCTGAGGGTCTGATGACAGAGCGGCGTTTTGCCAGCAAGAAGATTGATCATTGGACCCCTGATTTTGAAGTCGTCTTCTTTAACTATTCTTTTTAAAGACATTCTTGATATCATAGAAACTTGTACATCTGTAGCGCGAGGGCATGCAAAATGGCTCGCACATTGCATTGCCCGTCCGCTTTTGGGTTTGAAGACAGTTCATCGGACCTGCAATGCAAATTGCTGCCCTGTCAATATCTGGCCCTCACCTCCATCTTCAGCGTGCATTTACCAGCACCCGCGCATCTTTCATGATGATTCTTGTGTCCATTTGTGTGCCACTCTTGTGCAATGTGAGAGCAAACAGATTTTGCCTGAGCTGTCACCTCCAGCAAACTCAGGCTGCAGTAATAATTCGCTCCTCCTCCTCTTAAGTGTGAATGCTCTGCAGCCAGTTCCGCTTCCTCACAGCCGAGCGATCACTTGCATTTTTTGCGCTCTGGATCCTTGCATAAACTAATTTCGGTATCTGTTCACGGCGCAAGGGCCGACATTCTGGCAGGTTTGATGGGGTTGTGGTAGCCAGCACTGTGTCTTGTCGTCATATTTGGTGGGAACTAGTCATTTTTGTGTTGCCAATCTGAGATGAGCCTCAGTTCACGGTTCAAATGAGCCGTGACATAATCCATCTCTTGCATGAAGAGCCTTGCTTGCCGTGCTCGTTTGAACATAGGCGCTCTTCTTCTTCTGGAGGCTCCGTCAGTTTACTATTTTCGTCGCTGTGCCTGCATAGCTTGGGGCAGCAAGTCCTGCTTCACAGCTCAAAATTGCATCATCAGGTGCACCCTCATGAGCAACTAGTTTGATGCGTTGCCTTTTCCCCCTCCTGCAATTATGTAAACCTTCTATTGCTCCAACCCGTCGGTTGTGCATAGTTGTGTTAGGCACCTGGCCCCATTTTTCCCTTTCCTGCTTTAAAATCATCTTATGTCGAGTCCCCCAGCAACTCCAGGAGCCTTAATGGCGTCAGCCCCAGAAGCCCCAAACCATCCTGTGGAGACCCCTCCGTGCGGTACCTGGGGACCGTGCAGTTTTTGGAGGTTGCCAAGGGCCACACAAAGCAACAATCGTATTTACTTGCACAGAAAAGCTGCGTAAAGAAAGTTTGCTATACTTCTCCAACCCTGGAAAATGCACGAGAGCGATCTTCCATATCATAAGGCCATTGGTGCTTGGAGTTCGTCGAGGTTGCGTGGCCTCATGTCCCTCAATTCTCAACCTTTTAAACCCCAGTTTGCAGAATGTCAAAAAGGTCTAAAGCTCGAGACCCCACACCTTGCAGAAACGATCGGTGCGGTACTTGAAGACTTCCAAGGGTCGTGTGAAGCAGCAGGTGTATGACCCCAACACAGCCATCCAGATCGTCAAGAACAGCGCCAATGCCAAGTTCGTGGAGGCGGCCGAGGCGCACTTCCGCCTCAACATTGACCCCAAGTACACCGACCAACAGCTCCGTGCCACCGTGAGTTTTTGCATCTCATCCTAGTTTAGGATGCCTTTTGTAGTTTTCTTCTGGGATTGTTGCAGGGTAGCTTCGTTTGCCGCTCCCTGCCGTTGCCTTTTGTTGAGTGGTTTCCTGTCGTTTTTTGGTTCCCTGTCTCTCTGCAGGCCATCTCATGTCGCATCACTTCTCACGCGGTTGTTTGTTCTGCTTCCTTCGAATTTTGGAGTGGGATTCGTTTCTGGCTTTTGTTGAATGTTTGGCTACCTTCAACTCATAGATAATGAGCTAAATCAGACTGCTGCCGAGTTTGTTGCCCCCATCCTTCACCTTTACAACATACGACCTGCTTTCTGTTGCTCCTTTATTATGTTGTAAGTGCTCAGACCCTCAGAGAAGTTGGGTACTACTTACTTCTAATTTCACACCCTGCAAGCCTTTTAGGTAGGTCCTAAGCTTCCGAGCTTGAGAATAACGTGTGCCTCTCAACCGCTTATTGCCAGGTGTCGCTTCCCAAGGGCACCGGTCAGGTTGTGCGGGTAGCCGTCCTGACCCAGGGGGAACAGGTGGCCGCTGCAAAGGAGGCGGGAGCAGACATTGTTGGGGGAGAGGACTTGATCGAGCAGATCCAGGGGGGGTTCATGGAGTTTGACAAGTTGATTGCCACCCCCGATATGATGCCTAAGGTGAGTTGTCGAAGTGCGTCGTTTCAGCTTCGTTTCCACCTTTTGAAAGGATACTTTGGGGTCTGGCGAGTATGACGAGCCAACAGCCCGAATAGTGGACAGTTGAAGCAAATACTATGTCGGGTGTTGGACAGTTTCTCTAACCAATTAGTAGATTGTATCGTCTGCACTTGTTCCAAAAGGCTCTGAGATTGGGTCCAGAAGAAAGCGTCATCACACCTTTTTGGAAGGGTATTGACTGCGGCAGGCGCTTGGAGGGGCGTCGTTGTAGAGAGCTTGATCCAGACGCTTCCTTCCGGGGCTTGTGCTTCGATGAAGGTGGTACAGCTACTGTTAAAATTGATTTAACATGTCGCTGGGGTCTCGAAGGTTGTTTTATAGTTTTTAGGCTCGCTATGATAGACAACATTGGAGGCTGAATCGTATCGTTTCTGCATGCTCGCTTGAGACTGGATATCTCTCACGTACTGCATTTCGGGAGATCTGCATGGCAATGACGGTGTTTGGATTGTGGGACGAAGCAAGAATGTTCAGTTTTGCAATGGTCAAATGCATTAAGCGCAAGGCCCACATTTGCAGTCGTCGCAAAGTTGGACGTCACAGATTCGCGTTTCTTCCTCCAGCATCTGACCCGATCCGTCCCTTTGTCTCCAGGTTGCCAAGCTCGGGAGAATGCTCGGACCTAGGGGGCTGATGCCCAACCCTAAGGCCGGAACCGTCACGCCGAACATTGCTGAGGTAAGCACACACACTCGTGTTCATTTTTTGCAATTTGTTGCGTGTTACTTGTTTCAAAGCTCTGCCGGTCCCAAGAAAATCATTCGGGTCGCTGGGGCGAAGCAACATTCCGTTATCTCCAACATGAGCTGACGAAGTTGGCATGCTTGCGACGGTTGTTGCGCTTGGCCCCTAAATAGACAGCAGACCATTTGCGAGTCTCGTTCTTGGGACTTTTTTCCCAAAAACACGAGTACGAACACGCCTGTGTGGTGAAGAGTTCTGGCACTGTATGGTTCATCAGCTCTGCCGAAAACGAGTTCGACTTTGAAAGGCCGTCGCCCCCTCGCCCTCTATCCTCACTTGACCTTTTTGCGACATACACCGACATCGGAGCTTCCACAGCCATCTATCATCGATTATTTTACCTCTCTTGTTCCGCTCTTCCGGTTCCCTGTTTCTCTGCCCAATTTCTGACCCTGGTTCGCATGGCGCAGGCTGTGGTCGAGTTCAAGGCCGGAAAGGTAGAATACCGTGCGGACAAGACGGGCATCGTCCACTTGTCCTTCGGAAAGGCCAACTTCAAGGACGAGGACCTGCTTATCAACCTGGCCGCTGTGACGGTAAGTGCCACGGGGAAAGCGCCTTGAAAGAGCTGTAGGCAATCACCACTTGGCTGGATACGACGAGAATGGCAGTGAAAGAGGGGGCGCCACAAGGACGCGGCAGATGCTCTCCTGGTTTTGCGCATAGTGGTTGTGTGAACGGCGAACAGCTGCGTTGCTTTCACCTTCATCACCCACCCTGGGTTTCTCATGTTCTTGCCATAGATGTGTGGGATTGCTCATGGAAAGCTCTGAGGTTGCCTTCAAACGTACTGCCACAGTTTTTCCGGGCCTCTTCAGAAGATCAGTTGCTTATTGTTGTTGCGTTCCAATGCAGAACTCGATTGAGGTGAACCGGCCGACGGGATCGAAGGGGGTGTACTGGAAGAGTGTCTACGTGAGCAGCACAATGGGCCCATCTATCAAGGTTGATGTCAACCAGCTACGAGAGCTCCGGACCCTGTTAGCTGCGTAGAAAGGTACATATAAGCGGGGGTTGCCGATTCTTGCAAGGTACAGGTGAAGCTAGGTTGACCGTTAAGGGAAGGCCGAGCCTGGCGTTTTGCAACAAAATGGTTACGGGGTGTTCGACGAAACGAAGGCGGCATGTACGCGGTGTCTGCAAGCGTGCCTTTGCAAGCTGATACTGTTGAGCAATGACATTCCGAAGGGCTCGAGCATGATGTCCTACAGTCCTCTCTCGCTCATTTGATCAATGTCGCTGGGGGTGGTCCTCTGCATTGAATCGTTTAGGCTTTGGAGCGCAGTTCAGATGCGCAATTACATCTTGCACGTGTGCCTGGAGTTGGGAGTGTATGTTCAATTTGCGCACAAGCACTTGTCTGTTGAAACCGTCTCTCCTCGCCAGCACCGATATGGTTGCATCAATGATACTGGCCGAGTCTTGGTTCAATTTAGTATGTTTGCCGCCAGACGCGCAGACCGTCTCCATTATTGGACCTTTCAATTAGACAGCCTACCGAATGGCTCAGCAAGAGGGCGCGGCCCCCCTCATGGCATGGCATGGACGCGCGTGGGTCATGACTTCATCGATCCGTCTTGTGATACTTGCCACGGCCCAGCGACCATGTCATATGTACATGATATGGTTATGGTGCGGGCCAACTCTGGAATCCATCGGGAACTGCAATGTGCGCGCCCCACATCTCGATCTGTCTCATGCACCATCCGTGAGTGAGGCTCACGTGAGCCATGGCTAGGTCACGATATAGGGCTGGCCATGGCATGCACCCAGCACGGCGGCCCATAACGGGCGCGCCACCACGCAATGATGACAATTTGACCATGCAAGCCCATGAGGACATATTATGGGAGGAAGCGGGCGACCCACTAACTGGGCGACCCACTAACTGTGCGCACTGCGAAGCCTGGCAACGACTCGACATGCCGAATTTGCCATGGAGACTTGCTAAGCGAACATATCAAGCTGGACTTCGAGCCAGCCCGGTTGCACAGACCAGTTTTCTTTTTGACCATGTAAACCACCAGCTAGGTACGCCTGGCCGACCGGTTGTGACGCACAAAGTCGAAGCCAGGCGCGGGATGGAGCTGTAGAATGCATGCCTTCTTAGTCACAAACTGGCAAGTAGGTACATCTTACAGATTACAACCAGCAGTCAGGTCCAATTTAGGCAGCTGGCGCAATCCCAATCAAAGCCTCTCCTATGATTTATCATCACCGCTTATCCAGTCACCAAAACTTAGGATGCCAGAAATGCGGCTTCAGTCCCCCCTCATGTAGCACAATACAGAGCTATCAGCAGATCATGAATCAACACGTACTAGCCTAGTTCTGTGGCCCGTCCCCAACCGTCAACAACTGATCCTCTGCTTGTGACAAGGCTTCAAGGTCCGGACTCTTCACAACGGCTTTCACTGCGTCCGCATCCTTCAATTGCCAGGCCCGGCCGCTGCCGGTGTCGGATTCGGCGCCCGCAATACGCAACACGGTTGAATGGTAGTTCAGAAGGCTGGGCCTGTGCCCAACGCTGACAAATGTCACACCGGCGTTGCTCAACTCGCTGTACAGGTGTTGCTGCAAGGTCGGGCGTGTGCGTTAGACAAAGGGTTTGAGATTTGCAGATGTCGCACTTCATGGGTTTCATGCTGAGGAAGCGCTGCAGAAGTAAGGATCCTCAAGAGCCGATAAAACCGGTAAAGAAATAATACAATACGCCAAAACGCTTGCGTTCGTCAAATTTGCAGCTCCACCCTGAAATTGTGGAATCACCCGAGACACTTGACAGCCTTTTTTCCCGAAAGACAAACCTACAGTCGTGAAGCACCAACCAAGTGCCATTGCTTGTTGTTAGACCCCGAGTTCAGGAAGAGACAAATGCAGCGGTATTTGTACCCGCATGCTGGCTTAACGCAAGCGTTACCAGAATTTGTCGTTATCATTATGACACATCCGGATCAAAACGCTTGAAAGATTGTGCTGAACTAAAGTCGAAGCACGTGTAAAGCCTGAAACAGAACTTGCAGCCATCATATGAAAGTTTGGGATCTCCCGTGCAGCAACCAGACGTATTCAGACAGAGTCTTATAAGGAACTTTAAAATCGACAGACAATGCGGTGGAGAGAGGAGCAGCGTTCGCGTTCGCGTTCGCGTTCGCTCAGGTTTTCAATAGGAAAGGAAGGAGGCAGGATTCCGAGGGAATCGGACGTGCGGATCACCTCGTTGTCTTCGTCTAAGGCGCTCGTTGACTCGTCCATGAGTGCGAGGCTTGGCTTGGAAAGCAGGACGCGCGCAAAAGCCAGCCGCTGCTGCTCGCCTAACGACAGTACGCTGGACCACTCGAGCAACCTGTGGGACAAAGTTCGCAAGATGAGTGGCCATGCTAGTTGCTGCAAACTGACTAGGTCAGTGATGCAGGTAACGTGATTAGTATTGCTGCTAACGTTGCTGCTTCGCCCGACGATGTACGCTGTACCATTCGAGCAACCTGGGGTTGCAAAGTTCGCACGATGAGTGGCCATGCTACTTGCTGCGGATTGACAAGATCAGTACTGCAGTCAACGTTGGTTTATAATGCAGGTAACGTTGCTGCTCCGCCTAAAGACTACGCGCTCGACCACTCAAGCAACCTGCGAAAAAGGTCTGGCGGGATGAGAGGCGCCATATTTTGAAGAATACTTGCGACAATCAAGCACTGAGGAAAGTACGCAACGTTGCTGCTTGTACGACAAGAACACACCCTTCCAGCAACGTGCGGTGAGCATCTTGCATCCTAGGAGGCCTTGTCATAGTGGGAACAAATCGCCGCGAAGACCATCATGAAGTTATGTACGGGAAGGAAGAGGACGTGAGCGTAAACGTGAATGCCTTTATTTACCTAGATTAACAGAGGAAAGTTCAATTGACTTAGCGTGATATGCCAGACTTCAGGAACTACCGAAAATGTTCCAGTAGCTCCAGTCTCAGGACCTGAGATGCTCAAACACCGTCTTCTTGTGGATGCTCAAACACCGAGAATACAAAGCTCGCCGTCTTCCGACTTACCTTAGTCCGTCTCCCGCCCTTGAAGAGTGAACAAAACGTCTTCCCAGTTGCGAGACACCATACGACAACGCCCTTTTTCCCCCCTTTTCTTTCCCCTTTCTTCTTTTGAATGTTTACTTTTTGCTTTTACTTTTCAACTGAACGACGTGAACACCATGCGTGATGGTTGGACAGCAATCAAACCCGGGAAAGAAGAAACGAAAACGTTACAGCGTTACTTACGCGTCTAGCCCGCCGGCCCTTCCGCGCAGGTCCCCTAAGCGAACGCGCTCCAGCACTTGTTCCAACTCCTCGTCCGTAGGTTTGGGTTTGTTGGTCAGTCTCGAAAGCGGTTTGGCAACCAACGCCTGGTTAGCGCTCTGACCCAGCTTGGGCCAGTTCTTCAACTCTGCAAAGGCAAGGTGTGAATACTTCGAAGTAAGTTTTTCGAACAAGTCTTGGTGGTAAAACGGGAGGAAGCACAGGTATCAGTATACAGTACCAGGGATCCGCATAGCGGTGGATTTCACATTCAGGGTCTAAACTTGGTTTTGAACCTCGCTATCTGGAGAAACACAAGCTCTTACTGGGAAAAGTTTACCACAAGCACAGAAGTGGAGGCTTCAACCCAGTATGCTCAAGAAGGTCAGAGGGACTCGCAAATGTTGTACTTGTTCTGCTTGAACCTCATACAAGAGTTGCTCTTCTGGTCCAACGGCAATGGAAGCGAACTTACTCAAAATATTCCACAGCAAGCGCGATGCCAAGAGGACCATGTTTAAGGACAGCCCGTGGATGCGATCCCGTGGTCCGACACAGGCGACGAGTGATTACCAACCAAAGCGCAGACGGACAGCAATGCACCACGCCTTGAATCCACACAGGTTTACCGTGCAAAAGCAGTTGTCTCATTTAGCAACTTCCGAAAGCTCAGGTCAAATGCGACAAAAGCAAGGACGGAAAAGAGGCTATCTGTCAAACAGCTGCGCACCTTTCTCCGGGTCAACGTTCTCTTCCCCCTCGTCTAGTTCCTGGCTCCACGTCGGGTACAGCAACTGCTGCCGAAGTGTGCCCAACACCATGTACGGCCTCTGCGGCAGGAACATAACCGAACCCCAACTGTCGTCCGCGTCTAGACCGTCCGAATCCGACTTCGAGGCGTCCGAACTTGTCCCCAGGGCGTCCGGATCCGTACCCAGACCGTCCGAACTTGCGTCTAGGGCGTCCGAACTTCCGCCCGGGGCGTCATTCGCCCTCGCAAAGCCAATACTAGGCGTTACTGGTTCGGACGGTGACACCGGTTTCCCGTCCTCGCCGATGACTGTAGGGGCATCCATCTCAACAGCTGGCCGCTCAGTTCCCGGAGCTCTCACCCCCCCGTTTGTAGAACTACCATTCTCCGCTTCAGCAATTGAGCTGGCGCCGTTGGATGACGTCACTCTGTCATCATGACCGGACCCGACGATTGGGGAGCTTTGGATCACGTGCCGTCGAATCACCCCCTCCCCCGCTCGCCAGAGCCCCGCTATCGCCCTCAGCAGCGAAGTTTTGCCGCTCCCGCTCGGGCCCATGATTAGCAAGTGGTCCCCGGCGGCAACGGTTAAGTTAAGATCGTGGATCAGGGTTAGGGCGTAACCGGGGGTGTAGATGGTGAGGCCCTCAATCTCAAGCAGGGGGGTTCCGGAATCTTCGGAGGGGGTTTGGAGGGGGGCGTCGAGGAGTGCGATGAGGGGGCGGGAGGGAACTACCGGGGCGGTGCCGTTATTGGCCGTGGGGGACGCCTCGAGCTGCTGGTCTAGAACGTCACCAAACTCGCCTGCAAACGAAGTTCAGGCATGTTTCAGAAATGATACGCACCATTCATTGGGCTCTCTTCGATTCCCACTCTCCTTCGCACATCAGTCCACTTTTGGCTGTTCTACAAAAGGAAGGAGACTGTTTTCCACGGCGAAAGGGAAACGAATTGCTCCCTGAATCAACGTAGAATGTGCTGACGCGACTCTGCATCGAAGCTCCTCAACCCCAAACAACATACGTTATAAGGTGCTCTTGGCATGCCCCGACTATTCGAGATACCTACAGCTGTCGCCGAAGCTTCTCATCGTCAATGTGGATCGGATGAACGCGCCACCAAATGAAACCGCTGGGGTGACTGGACCAAAGTCCCAACGATAGCTCCAGCGGCTACTCGAAACAGCAGCTATATTCAATTGGCGTTTTCCAAGGATTAAGCTGGCTTCAGAGGAATATGGACTAACCTAGACGGTCGACTACCGCCGAGAAGGAGCTGAGCGACTGGAACTGGTAAACGATCAGCGAGAAGTCGCCGAGAATGTGGTTGAACGCCGAGAATGACTGGTTGATGACCCCGAACTCGATCTTGCCCGCGAAGTAGAGCGGCGCGACCACGGCGGCGGGCAGGAGTTGGATAAGGAAGCGGTAGAAGGAGGTGAAGAAGTCGAGGTTACGGCTGGTGACCAGCAATTGCTGCAGGGGGTTAGAGCATGGGGTCAAAACAAACTGGAGTGAACAAATGCATTGTTGTTGCAAAACAATGCGCAATCTGCAAGTTACGTGGTATTTCAGGAGACTGACCAGCATTTGGGACAAATGTTAGGGAATGTGCTATTCATGACTCTACAGGCAGTAGACCTGAGCATCGATGTAACGGCTCTTTCTCCCCTGTAAGGGAGTCTCGGAATCAAGACATGACTGGTGACCCTTGCTCACTGCAAGGGTCTTCAAGCAAGGTAACGTGAGCCAGGAAGAAGCCTGCGATGACAGACCTCTGCTGACAGGAATGGTGAAGGCTTTCAAGAACTTGAAGCGCAGATATTTAAGACTTCAGGCGGCAATCGCTGGCAAAGTCAGGCTACCACAAGCTGCAGAAATGATGCACAAGGAGACAATTGATAGCACGCTATTTAAACTCTTACTCGCCACGCCGCAGACAATCTGGCAATCAAGAAGTGAAGGTTCCAGAGACAGCTGTTTAACCAGCCATCCGTACGTGAAGCAACAACCGAGTGCAAACTTTAACAGACTTATTACCGACAACAAACCGCAAGCGGCGACGGAAACAGGGCTGCTTCGAGCAATCAGCGGGTGCTGCTGAAGGCTGCTTACGGATCCAGAACGACAATGGAGGTAAGATCATGATCCCACGGAGGAAGAACGCCCGGAAGCCAAGCGGCATAAGAGCCGGACTCGTCCAACGGACGTCTTCAAAGTGCAGCGGGACAATATTCTGCTCAGTGTTTCTCTTCGTACGATACCCGATGGACTCTCGAAGACAGCAGCTGCTCACCATGTAATTCTCAAACGTCTGCCGGAACCGCTGCACGAGCAGATCAATCTCGCTCTTCTCGCCACCGTAGAACGCGATCGACTCCGCGTTTTCCCGCACGCGCACCAGGCCGTACCGGAAGTCGGCCTCGCGCTTCTCTTGCATAAAGTTGAGCGACACCAAGTTCTGCGTCCAGAAGGGAAAGAGTTGGGGTCAGTCGAGTGGTGTCAAGTGGCCTCGCGCTTCCCTTGCATGAGTTGAGCGACACCAAGTTCTGCGGCCAGGCGGAAAAGAGTCGAGGTCAGTGGAGCGGTGTCAAGTGGCATCGCGCTTCTCTTGAATCAAATTGAGCGACACCAAGCTCTGCGGCCAGGGGGGAGAAATTCGAAATAAGTCAGAGCGGTGTCAAGTGGCCTCGCTCTTCTCTTGCATCCAATTGAGCGACACCAAGTTCTGCGGCCAGGAGGGAAAAAGTTAGGGTCAGTCGAGAGGTGTCAAGTGGGTGCAAACGTTTGCATCAACCAGAAGGCGCTGCTGTCAAAAACAGCGAAAGGCTTCGAACAGAGGAAAAGCGGGTCAGACACGAACTTTCGTCACCCGCCAAGTCGATCGTCATATGAAGGGACAGCTTTTCGCAATAGCTTCGGAGCGGCGGTCACGAAAGTCCCCCATTCTTGACTGAGGGTATATCTTGAAAAGATGCGGCTCTGGTTGCTGATCTCCCCAAGAGTTCAGAAGACGTGTGAAGTGTCGGCAGAATAATAGCGGAGCCCGGACCTTTTTGGTCATCGATTCGCATCCTTCCGAGATAAGCGCTTGATGGCAATTTTGACTCCTAGAATCACCGTTCATTCATTTCGAGAAGGAAAAAGCAGAGCAAAATTGATCGGAGATTCAGAAAAGATGCTTCGTCTCGATTGATTGTTCATTGGCTGAGAAGATTACGTTGCAATGAATATGCTCGGAAGGGTGGCAAGATTGGTGCGAAAGAAGGAAATCAACAACTTCACTTTTCCAAGCGCAATGTTGGCTGTGCTGCCCGATGATCACACAACAACCATATTTGCGGCGGGCAGATATTATGCAGGATGCCGTTGGAGAAAGACGAGGTTGGAGCCCACATTCACTATTGAATGCACACTCTGCAAAGCAGTGAAGGCGAAGCGAAGGAAAAACGACGTAATTTTTCCAAGAGCGACGCCGATGGCCGTGCCGTCCTAAAAGTAGACGACCAGAACAACAAAGAACGGCGAACAGATGGTGTGTAGGATGCCGCTGAAGGAGAAGCGGTCAACGGTCATGTAATAGACGAACATAAGAGTGATGCAGAAACGGAGGCCAAAATGGTACGAGCGTTACCTTTCCAAGTGCGACGCTAATGGCCGTGCCGCCCAAAGAGTAGACGACCAGGACCACAAAGAGCGGCGGGTAGATGGTATACAGGATGCCGCTGAAGGAGACGAGGTCGATGGCTGCGTTTACTAGCGCGAGCGAGAACGAGAGCGAGGAGGTAGTGAAGCGGTCCAGGTCGTCGACGATTCGCTGGTCGGGGTTGTCGATCAGCGACTGGGACTGCGAACAGAAGAGATCGGCAGGGAATTTAGATCGATCGGATAGTCCGACTCAACAGTTTCGGTCATTCGGTTGGACTACGCAAGGCAATGTGCTTGTCGAAGTAGTCTACCGTTAAAATGGACTGTGCGGTCAACAGGGTGGTCACGTCCCGGTTCAGAGAACTAGGGCGGGGCGGAGGTAGCGGACCGGCCCACTGGAATCAAAGTGCCAATAACAAAGTGCAACAAAAGCCGTGAGACTAGGCGAGATATAAAAACCCAGCCTGGCTCCAGCATCCCAGCCTGCTTACCTGGATGTTGTAGAAGGTTCTGTCAGAAAAGTATCGCTGCATGTACTGCTCGGTCATCCATGTACGCCAGCGAATGGCCAGCAGGTCCCGTGAGTAGTCGCGCAGGACGTAGAATGGGATGCCCACGACAAACGCGCCCAGGTAGGCAAAGAGCTGGTGCACGAACTGGGACTGGTCCTTGCCTGCGAGCATAGGGAAAGCTGTTAGCAAAAAAACAAAAATATCGATCCACTGAAAACATTGACAAAAAGTTGATGCTGTGATTCATATCCACAGACTTACCTTCGAAGTACTTTCAGTGGCGGGGGTGGTTAAGTAGGTAGCATCTTGAGACAAACTATTTTGAGGAACTCAGTTGCGTCGTACAAGTGAAGCTTGGGGCCAACATTTGTGAACCTTGAAGTGGCAGACTCATTTTGGCAATTCAAGGTCTGAAACATATAAAAATCTCAAGGTCGAGAAGTGACATGACGAAAAAATTGTGTGCTCTAAGCTGCCAAAAGATTGTCTGAAACATTGACTGTTTGAGAAGAGTACATCCGTTGTAAACCAGAGGTTGGATGATGATATTGCAACAGCATGACCGGACTCGCTGGAACGAAATAAGTTCCAGGTTGGAGTGCGCAACAGATGCATTGAAGAAACGAATTGTGGCGTGCGCTGGACAGTACCACACGGACCTGCACAGCAACACGCACTTGTTGCACAAAACGGAACATGCAAGCTGACAATAGAAACTAGAGGCGACGCACTTGCGAGCGCGTTGTAGAAGTCGCGTCCCAGGAAGTTGAACAGCACGCTGATGCCGGTTGTCGCGAGGGTGAGCACGAAGACGCCGCCAAGACGCAGACGCGCCTGGAACTTGTCCTCGCTGCTCCAGTAGGGGGCGGCCACTTTGGTGAATCGCCTCCACAGGGTCTTGAGGTCGGAGCCCTTTCTCTGCAGACAATACTTCCTATCAGCCCCAGGCTTTTAAGACATACGGTAATTTGAGACCCAAGTGCTCCAATAAGAGGCAGCCGCTTTTGGTGAAAACTCCACCATAAAGTCTTGGGGTCGGAGCCTTTCCTCTGCAGATGATGCATTAAGAGTTCTGAGGTCTTCAATGGTTGGGGAAAATCAGATCTCACAAGATCCAGATGAAAGGTACAAGAGCGCCCTAGACGTTTGCATGCTCCAATTAGGGGGCCGCTACCCTTGTCGGAGGGTGCCGCCAAAGGGCTCTGGAGGTCGGAGCTTATCTGCAAATCTTGAATGAGACTCTCCGATCTTTATTTTTTCCCCCAGGAGACTTTCGAATTTTCTGTTGGTTTTAAGTTGTAAGACTTCACAGATTTCAGAAGAAAGCACACTGCTCCAGTAGGGGACGGGCGCCTTGATAAGGCAGCCAGGCTTCCCTGAGATTCAAGCTCTTTCTTCAGACACAAACCTCAGAATTTGAGTAGATGTCACTTGTGAAACTTCGCAATGTTCAGATGAGAATACAATGCTTCAATGCAGGGCGGCTACTTCAGTGAAAGGTTTAAGATCAGAGCCCTTCTCTGCAAATAGTGTGTAGATGGCTTCACTAAATCTAAGGTGTGGGATGTCGGACAAGATCTGGATGAAAGTTTGAAGGTGGCGGTCAACCCCGCAGTTTGGCGGCAGAGGATGGACTCCCCAGATTGCAGCACAAGCAAACTGGGTAGACCAGGTGTTTTGAGCCTCCTTTTGGGAAGTTTCGGAGCCGAGTGTGCTCCCGTCACGGAGGAAAGTTTCAACATCAAAGTAGACAGCGTTCACAGTGATCAATTCAACCTGGCATTTGAAACGAGAAACTTTCGAGCAGATGTGTAGAACTTTGGACTCTGACTGTCGTTTCAAGAGAAAAGGTTACTCACACAAACAAGAAGAACAAAGACGACCACTTCTGGAATAACGAACCACTTCGGCTGCCAGTCCTGTTCAAACATCCTCTTTACATGCACACTTAGAGGAATTGAAGTAGAGGGTGGCTTCACATAGAGCAATGCAGCCATGATGCATCACCTTTTTCCCATCAGGCGTGCTCTCGCCCTCCAAATCGTCTTTGGGGTCCTTGGGAAGCGGAAGGCCTTGTACTGGGGAGGTGGCCGGTGCTTTGGCACTTTGTTCATCTGTTGCTACAGAGCTGCCAGACGAAGCCTCTTCTGACTGCGATTGGCTCCTCACAACGCAGCGCTTCTCAAGTGTGCGCCGTGGAAGGCTGATTGGCTTGATGTATGTGCAGAGAGGCGGTGCACGCAATCGCTCCTGCCTGTGGTTTGAGGTGCTATTGAATGAGCAATGAGGAGAGCAGCGGAAGGGTGGTGTTGATTGGGAAAAGTTCCTCCGACCGGTACTTTGCTTTGAAAGCACATCGCGATATGAAAGGGGTGCAATCGTACTGAAAGTGGTCATTGAAGAGCACGCCATGATGGGGATAGCAACTTGGCAGCTCAGACCTGGCTGTAGAGAAACTTAGGCCCGTGAAGGTCCTTGCCAGGTGTGGCTCAAAAAAGCTCAAAACCCAGCACCATCAACAGTTGCTTGTTGACTTCAGGTTGCGCCAGCAATTAGAATGTGGAAACTGGGATCCATTGGAGTTAGTCTATCCTAGCTGTTTGCCTGTTCCGCCTCTTTTTAGGCAGCTTGGGACGAGGAATTGTTGAACTGCTAATATATATTCGAATCTACATATTAGCATATGTAGGCAGTTAATTGTTCGGCATTTGTGAACGCAATTTTGACGTGGGATATCGACCTTTAAGTGTTTTGTCATATCACGAATATATTGAAGATCATAGGCGCGCAGAACCTCGTAAACGCATCTATTGAATAAAGGAGGACTGCAATGCCCTCCAAATGGAATGTTGCTCGCGTCACAACTTACAAGTGCATGTGAGTCGTGATTGAAATTGAGCACTGCATCTGGAAGCGTGGAAGGGGTGCATTCTCTTGGAAGGGCGCCACGCACTGAGGGGGTGGTCCGCGGTACCTGTGGCGGAAGGTCAGTTGGTCTTCTGCAAGGGGGCGTGGCTGGAGACTTCGTGCGCTTATTGGATCCAAGGTGTGTCCACCCGCCAATGCCAACTGCCAGTGCTTCACATTGAATGCCTTGCAAGCCTGGATTTTTGAGCATGTGTTGAGCTGGATCTATGTGTCTTAGCCTTCAGTATCTTCTCCTGCATCGATAAGTGAATCAAGCTTCTATTGGCGCCAGTGATTTTGATTAATGGATTGCTTGACTCGTCAGACAGCTGTCCTGGCTGAGGAGGGTCAAGGGATTGGCGCCATGTAAGATCTGGGAGACTGAGGCAGGCTAGGTGTCCGGACGCCAAGGACCAACATTAGTGAGGACAACCAGGTTCCAAACAACCAGACTGAAGAGCAGATTGTCTTTCTTACTCAAGAGCTGCAGAAAACCATCTTGACTGCGCTACATGCTTCCCACGTCAGTTTGCTGGCAGCCTTGTCAGAGTTTGAGGATCGAAGCCAAGGCGCTCAGTACACTTGAAGCGCTCAGGCTCAGTCCCGTGGCTGCACCACTACTCATCGCCCCACTCGCACAATCTTCCAACTTTGATTCACACCAATCCGCCCTGACTCTGTCTTCTCCGTCTTACTTTCAAACAGGATCTGAAGTCAAGGCGCAAGATGGCGTCAGACAAGGCGTCAATAGGGGATGGTTCCGAACCTGCGGAAGTTGTAAAGCCGCTTCCCAACGCTAAAGCGCAACTCGGCAAGCACCGGGAATCGCAGTACCAGAAACTGGCACCAGCACGGGGGACTTTCCTGACCATGGTTGGCATGGTCCTCCTGCTGTTCCTAACGCCGCCTGCAGCAATCTATGTGTGAGTGGTGTTATCATCTTCTGGGTCTTTTGCAAAGTTCCTAAGTGGTTGTGCAATTGCGTGAGTTTTGTTTGGCAGCACAGAGGACATTGTTGGTCAGTAGTTGCAGTTTTAGGCTAGCTTAGATCTTTGAGGGAAAGGGACTCCATATGGGGATTGTTCAAGTGGTGGTAGTCGAGCGCCAGGATCAAATCAAGTGCAGACTGTGCTTCACTTTGACACAAGCGATGCTGAGCAGAGGACAATCTCTGCAAAGACTGTGAGCTTGCAGACTTTTATTGAAAAGAGTTGGTTCTGACGAGAAAGGGATCTCCTGGCATGGCGTTTGCACTACAAGATAAGTTGAAACAGACGCACTCCATACAGTTTGCAGAGTACAGAGTTTAGTTGGCCAACAAACTTACCGTCTAACCAGACTGCATCTGCCTTGGAAAAACGGTTTTTGACCTCAATTCAACTTCCAGCACAGTAGTATATCTCACATCGGCGGAACTCTCCTTTCAGGTGGTACATCCACGCCCAGAAAAACGGCTCTGTCGCAGAGTTCTACCACTTTGCAATGGAGGAGGGTCTGTCGGGGGTCTGGTCTATTTGGCCGCGACCCACCGGCACGGCCTGGGCAATCATTGGGATCTTTGGCGGGTTTGAGGCTTTGTTGCAGCTATACCTGCCGGGAAAAGAGGTGTATGGGCCGGTGTCGCCAGCAGGCAACATTCCAGTTTACAAGGTAAGGAACAGAATGAAAGTTGAAGTTACCGTTGGGAGTTGATGTTAGAGTTATTTTCGCAGGACTGTCTGGTTAGGCATTGAAAAATCAACCCACGAATCAACGTAGGTGGTCACGTATTGATTGTGGAGTGTATACTGATCCAAAGCATCTTATCGCGGTGTACTGTCTTTGTGAATCTCCTCAATCACTATACCAGGCGTTTCCGTGTGTTTCTGATGAGAGTGAATGCAGAGTCGAAAGGAAGTGCCTTTGACAATCTCGTTGATAATCTCTGGTACTTCTCGTCTTGTTTGGTGTCTGGCTGTGTTGAACACCGCCGACAACAGGAACGAAATATGTTGGAAAAGGACTGGTGCTCAAATGGTGGGCCTTACGAGGGATTTCAACTACACTTCATTATGAGTTGCTTTCTGATGTATTTGCAGGATAACGGGATCCTAGCATACGGGATCTCGCTGATAGCCTACATGGCTGCTTGGAAGTAAGTACGCTGGCAGTCTTGTCCTCTTCTTGAAATCCAAGACATACTCTATCGAGCATTCTTTTCTCGTCTAAAACCACTTTAGTGTATCCATGCAACTCCCTCAGCATAAGCCCTCCTTTGAGCTCGACCTTAAAGCATGGATGTGCTCTGTGCACGTCATCTGCAATAACTTGTTGCTTTCATATCGGTTTTGGCGGCTGAACGTTGGAGTCTCTGCAGTTGCTTACACAGCACAACGCAAACACTTGACTCGAACGCATGTTTCAACCATTGGACGATTCAAAGGAGTCCTCCAACGATGCTCTACTGAACTGGCCGTTGCTTCGCAGGTTGGGTCTGTTCCAGGCCACGTTGGTGTGGGATCACCTTGGGGAGGTGTTCTCCGCCCTCAACATTTTCAGCCTCCTACTGTGCGGCTTCTTGTACATCAAGGTGGGGATCCGCCCGATCTGTGCATACAGTGCCACTTGCCAAACAACGTGCCCCACTCGTACCTTGAAGTGAAATGGGTTTGGAATCCGGGGTTGGTCTTTTTAATTGTAGGGTCACCTGAATCAATTCGTTTGCGTTTTAGTCACAGAAATTCTGCAGCAAGTACTGGATAGGCCATAAGTTTTGGAATCAAAGGAACGGTGCGGAACAACAGCGTTCAAATTGGTACGGCTCAATCAAGCGTTCTGCCTCACTTGTTGACTGCGCCCCTTTCGTTCTCTCTCCAGGGTCGTTCTTTCCCTTCGTCATCGGACTGGGGATCGGCCGGCAACTTCGTCTTCGACTTCTTCTGGGTGAGCGCCTGCATCTTAGTCCCACAAAATCTGGCGGTGTTATTTCTAAAGTAGCATGCTGCAACAGCGAAACCTGTCCTCCAGACCATATCCGGTTCAAGTCGTTCGCAGAACTTTGTTGTCGTCCGATGGGTATTTCGGGTCGGCCCAACTCTTGCAAGAGGCCCGAAATGTACTTTGCTCAGGCGGCCGGCTGGAAGGGTCCTGCGGGTATACTTGAAAAGGACGCGGTTCTGCCAGCTTGCATTAGTGCGCTTGCCTTGCTCCTTTCATAACAGCCGGAAGCGCATTGAAAGCGCCCCGCTAGGAAGGTCAGCTCGATGCTGCATCCCTTTTCACCCGAGCAGTTGGCCTGAAGTTCCTGTCTCGGCACTCCTTTCTATGCTGTCCAAGGATTCTCCTCATTAGAATTTAATGCATCGTGCCTGATCACTCCGCTCTCAAGTCTATGCAACTGAACATGCAAAAGATCCTTCTATGGCCATGATTCCCAGCGAGTCACGCCGACAGACACTGTAAGAAGCCAAAAACCATATCGAGCACACAATTAACGGAAAAATCTGGATTTCTAACGGTCACTTTTCCATTCTGCTCTTCCAGGGCATGGAGCTCTACCCCCGCATCGGCAAAAACTTCGATATCAAGGTCTTCACCAACTGCCGCTTCGGGCTGATGGCGTGGGCGGTTTTATGCCTTAACTACGCCCTAGTCCAGGTTGAGAGGGACGGCCACGTGGCAGACAGCATGGCGGTCTCGGTCGCGCTAACCCTGATCTACGTAACCAAGTTTTTCCTGTGGGAGGCGGGTTACTGGTGCACCATGGACATCGCACATGACCGGGGTTAGTCTCTGTATTTTGCCGTCTTCTTGCCTTGCTGATAACTGCTAGGGTTTACTTCTGCTCTGGTTTGGTTTGCAAGGTGGCTCGACTGACTGAGTGAATGTCGTGTCTTCCAGCTTTTGTCCTTCCGTCCTTAATCTATCCTCTTCCGCTGTAAGTACGAGAAGCTGGTGCTGTTGCCGGGTGCAAATCACCACGGGGGTACAATAATACCTTGACCATCCTAACCGCTTTTTGTTGCTTCGACTTCTCGTTTGTCTCGTTAAGGCATCCCATTATGCCCAGCACTGTCGACTCGTCACTAAGCACAAACTCGACAACGTGTGCTTAACCTGCTTTTGCAAACTTGAACAACGTGTTTATACTCCTTTTTGCAGCCGGCTATTACCTGTGCTGGGGATGCCTCGTGTGGGTCCCCTGCATCTACACCTCCCCTTCCATGTACCTAGTCAACCACCCAATCCACCTCGGTTACGTGGTAAGTTACTGTCTTTACCGCTCTTCTTACCTTCTAGTCTCCTTTCTTTTCATCTTGGAAGACTTAAACCGCCGTTCTCTGACCACGTTTGTATGGTTGAATGAATCGCACTTCAACGACTTCGCCCTAGAGTTTTCTCTCATCAGGGAACAGCTACTTCCGTACTGTCTGAAGCAACCAGAGGACGAAGCTCCTCTGGATCTCTCTACTTCTTTTTCACATCAATCTCTAAGGCTCTCCTTACGTCGCTGAACGCAGTCGTCGCGTGCTGTCTCTTATCTGGCAATGTGTCCCAGTCCTCGTCTGGGCTCAAATACGCTGAGTAGGTATTCTTTCACCAACTTTAAGCGCCTTGCTTCTTCTGCACAAATCACCGCTTTAGTTTTCACCGCCGGCACCCCGTGCATCTAAACCATCAATCACTGCAACCGCCAGCTCTAGTCGTTGCACGTCCCCATAGAGCATGGCTTCATTCTTTATATTGTCGATCCTTCTCTGCAGACCGCCGCTCTAGTTCTCGCCGCCGGCACGCTGTGCATCTACATTAACTACGACTGCGACCGCCAGCGCCAGTACTTCCGGGCGACGCACGGCAAGGGCCTCATCTGGGGCAAGAAACCGTCCAAGGTACGCATCGGCATGAGGAGCGGTCCTTTAGAAACATGCGTTCGGAAGCTTCGCCACTTGCGGTCGTGTTTGCGTGGCTATTGACACGAATTAGCGAGCAGAGAACGCATCTGCGTGCTGTTGATGAAGACAATAAAAAGCCTACTAAAACTCGGAATAGGAGCAGAGTGAGACTAGAAAAAAGGCAACCGAGCCTGTAACAAATCTACAGAGCTAAGCAATTCTGTTGAAACGGGAGATTTGACGTAAGATATCAACGAGGGCAGGTTGTAGAGTAGAGCTCGGCGGTCCTCCATGGTTTTGTAGGTGCGTGGCGCCAAGATAATATATTTAAGTATTCACATACACCTTATTCTTGCAGATCGAGGCGACATACGTGACCGAAAATGGGGAAACGAAGACGAGTTTGCTGCTGACCTCGGGCTGGTGAGTTTGTTTGCGCGCTTCTATAACGTCGAGCTGTCTCCAGATTTTCCTTCTGATTCTTAGTCTTATTTTCATTTGCTAACATGCGAGCTTGGCTTTCACGGATCCAGAACTTTTGATACTCTCTTGCACTGAGATTGTAAGCGCTTCCTAGACGCGGGCCTCACCCTCTCTGTATGTGCTGGAGTTGTCTAACCACGCGGCTTCGGACTTACTTCTGTAAAAGCGAACAAACTGCTCCTCTTCTTCGTTGCGAAGCACGTTCGTCTACCCAGAAAGGAATCGTTTGCAGCAATCGTGACAGGGAGAAACGCTTGCAGCAATCTGTCAATAGATGCGGGTTCTCAAATCGTCCTTCAAAGTGCTTCGTGTTATCGTAATTCACTCGGCTTTTGCCACGTGTGCCGGTGGGGCCTGGCCGTTCAATTGGGCTACCTTTCGTAGGGCCTCGTATTTCGCCACGTCAATTGATCAACTTTTGCACGTGTGCAGGTGGGGGCTAGCCCGTCACTTCCATTACGTCCCTGAGATCCTGGCCGCCTTCTTCTGGACGGTGCCGGGGCTCTTCAACCACGTGGGCTTACGTCACCTTTCCTGTCTGACTGCCTCCGTTTCTTGAGTCCATGTTGGCATCTTCTTTCTGGGGCCTTGTCGAAAGCCTAACGGGCGACTCTGCTCCCTCCGGGCCACGTTCGCGTTTGGTGAAGCGGAGCTAGTTCCTCTTCGATGCAACGTCTAGAGAACCAGTGCTTGGTTGAGCTTGGATTGTTTGCGGTGGTTTTGAGTGCCAGCTTGCCTTCATCTTAGAGACAGCGGGGCCTTCATGATATATGTATGGAGAGAGGAGATGGCACGTCAAGGGCTGACCTTTGCGAAACAGAATACGGCGAATAACTGAATTGAGGTTGCACCATTGCTTCCTTTCTGGAGTAGGAATAGCGTTGATGGGTACTTGGAAGTTGCAGAAGACTCTGCGCATCTCAAAGATGCGCTGAAGATGCGTGCACCTCCTTCCGCTCTATTTGTTCGCTGGAGGCCAGATTCTAGTCAGTCTGCCACGGCCTAACGTTGCGCTAGCTTGACTTGCCGTTACTTCAACTTTTCGTCAACACAAACGGAACCAAGCAATCATACTTTTCCTTGCAGGCGTTGCCGTATTTCTACGTCGTTTTCTTGACCATCCTCTTGTTCGATCGGGCAACACGGGATGATGTACGGTGTCGTGAAAAGTGAGTCCCTCCTTTCCTTCTCCAGTAGCCCGTATCAATAAAGGGGTGCAATACAAAATCTGCATTTGTTCGAGTGGGATTTCAGTTTGGCGTTCAGCAAGAAGGCTGCTAAAGCGGTCGCCATCTTCACGCACTGGAAAGCAGGAGGCATATTTGTCACATATTGACGTCCCTCAAGCACTTTGCGGGCGCCTAAAGTGCATTGTATCAAGTTGAAAACGTATCTTTTGGTACTCAAGGTGACTCCCTCCCTCTTGGACAGGTACAAGAAGTTCTGGAAGAAGTATTGCGACCGGGTCCCTTACAAGATTGTTCCCGGTGTTTACTGAGGTGCAGTAGGGGTGTTCAATGAGTTGCTGATCTGGCGACGGTTCAAGGCCCAGATCTCGTTGTCACTGCTCATTATGGTGTGATCCAGTTGGGGCAATGAGCAATCGAAGTGGTTATTTTCGGGTCGCTCAACAGAGATCGGTCCCCAATGCCGTAGGTTAAGCCGGAGTGTTGCTAAACAAGCGGATTTGGTTCGAAGGGAGCCGAGAGTTTAGTTGATTGCACGCAACATTGGTGGCCGTTGTTTCGATCATGCCCCTGCTAACAGTGCTTTGGGTGCACGTGCTTGTCTAGCGTACGGTAATCAGGACATGAGCAGTCTCAAGGCTGCCAAGGCAACCTATAAGCCCGCAGGCACCTCTGATCACTGTCAGCAATTGCAGATCGTCATGGTCAGAATTGGTGGCCCGTGGAAAAGACTTGGGTGCAGATTCTTGCATGCCGAGATCATATGTTGGAATTTTCTTTCATCTCTTTGAAGCGATTGAATGACTGTTTGAACATGTGCATCTCATTGATTTTTGCATGATCATATCGATCTGGAGATGCATACTAAACGTGCGGATGCGGCGCACCCTGCATATGCCTAGCGCATGAAAGGGTACATCGGAAAGTCGGATGGACGTGATGATTCAATTGAAGCTTTTATACATGCATGCAATCGATCAAGGTCATGCAGCGCACTGGAACAGTCACGCAGTCCGCACAGAGCTACTGCAATGATCACATGCGGAGCTTTGCTCTTCAAAGGCCACGTCAATACATATGCACATGTACGCCTCCATGATTATGCCGGCGCCATCATGCAGCTCACGCATTACAATATGCCATCCCTAGGTCCTTAATCTACGATATCTAGCTCTTCAATATTGCAATATCATTGAGGTTTGCGTGCTACTTCAGTATACCGTCGGTGGTGCCAGGGCGAATGATCACTTATGCATGTGCGCTTGCGCGTGATGTCATGATGCATCTAATAATCGATTGACCTGTCTGCCAAGTTAGGCACGGCTAGAACATTACTCAAGAAGGATGTGGCTTAAAAGGGTCGATTTTATCGAGGTCTTTTGCACGACACCATGGAAGTATGCCAAGCTGTATGATATCACCATGCATGAATCATACAATACCTTCACAGTTGGGCCGCAAACAGCCTGGTACACCCAAGTACGCAGATTATGATTGGTCGTTTAGACGACGACGCCTCTGCCATTCTTTGCTCTTCGAAGCTCTACATGGCTTACAGACAAAATCTAGCTTGTCGCTACTACTTCGATCCTTGTGAAACTCCGATGCTTGCTTGACTACGCCGCAAGCTCTGCAACACTTTTCTACTCTTGGGATAACCGCAGCATCTTTCTTCTTCGACCTGTAGATCAGGGTTGAGAGCTTGCGACACGGTCTACAAAAGTAGCTCAAACCCGATGCTTTACTCCTGTCGGGGTAGAACTCAGTTGCTGCTTTGAGCTCAGTGCACATGTTGCACCTCTGTGGGGTGTCCAGCGGTGGCTTGTCAATCTTCCTCCGCCGCATGCTCTCACAGCTCCGACAGTACAGACTAACCCCATCCTTTATGCTGCTGTTTACCGTGTAATCTCGGAGCTCCTTGAAATGACCGCAAGCGTTACATGCCTTACCCTGACTCCATGCCTCCTCAACTGACAAAGAAAGATGGAACAGCTCCTTTTCCAAGTTTTGCGCCCGAAATACCGCCAAGCACGCTCTGCAAAGGTCGCTACGCCCGTCTGCTGTGCTACCTGACCTCTCGAAGTCCCCTAACAGCTTCGAGCGCTGACATTGCTGGCAACTCTTGACTCCGTTGTCAGCTTCTACAAGATTCTCAGACCTTCTAGGCAAGATTCGGCTTCTGGGGGCCTTCCCTTCGGGCTCATCTAACTTTAACCCTTCTTTGCTTGGGTGTGTATCAAGGGCGGGCCTGACTGCTCTCACTTGCACTCTGAAGGTCTTCTTAACACGAACAACAGGACTGAATGCATTTCTGAGGCGGTTAAATCGACTCCAACATAACTGATGGCATTCTGGCACGGACGCTACCCTGGGCAACAGCACACTCTGAGGCCATTCGTATGTAAACGCCCCCTGCTCAAGTATTGGCTTTACGGGACAGAAGCTCTGACGATGAGGATGTGCACTTGATGTGGTGGCAGCCATGGGGGCCCAAGGCAATGATTGACAATGAATGGGCAGTGATGGAAGAAGAGGCTTCTGAGCTTTCTGATGGAAAACAGAGTGGTGCCAGCATTTGCTAATGCTTCGGCCACAGATATGCCATTAAGCGCCTTCATAGGCAAAGCGATGCCATTGCCATTGCCATGTACCTTTTCCCCGAGTGCTTCAAGCCTGTTCGAATCCGATGATCCCTTTCCACAGGCCCCTTTTTTAGGGTTTTGAAGCCCTGCCAGTACTGAAACCCTAATAGCCCAACGTTTGTAAGACAGTATAGAGTAAGAGACGCACTGCACCGGCATGCACAATACTGCAGCTGTCCAAGATGCTTGAACCTGATGCATTGGTTCAAGCACCTTTCAAGGACGCCAAACTTGATTCCAGGGCTTTGAGGGTTGAGTGCATGCCACAGCGAAGAGAGGCACGACTCTGTTTGAAGGGCAGTAAAGCAAGCTGAAGAGTGGCGTGCTTTGAAGCAGCTTGCTGCTATGATGGAGCGCGCATTCTTCAGCACCACCCAACCATCACAAAAGCCATGAGTTTGACTGATTCAATTTAAGCTGGAAGCATTGGTTGCGCCTCTTGTTGATTTAAATGGCTGCTGCAAACGGGACTGAGCATGGTGGCACAACCAAGCTTGGTGTTCCTGAAAGATATCAAAGTATACAAGTTACTAGACATTCAAGTCAGCGTGGGGTTGAGAATCCACCTGGGAAGCACGAGAAGGATGAGCGGAAGAGAGTGAGCACAACCCTTTGACTTGTTGGGGGACTACTGCATGATTTCAACAATGCTGAGGCATGGAAGAGGAATTGATGACGCACTCAGCTCTGTTCGCTGCAAAGCTGCTGAGTAGCGATCAAGAAGCGAGCAGGTCTTGCCTCGTTGTTTCCAGCACATGTTTAAAGCTCCCTCTTTGACCGCCTTGCTTAGCCGATACTAGAGACACAAGAGATACTAGAGACACAAGAGATACTAGAGAAGGAAGCGTCCTTGTTCATTGGAATGCGTTTCGCCCCCTCTGGAAGCTCAACCTTTCTTTTTGGATCATGACGTTCTTCTTGATTGCCTGCTTGAGTTTCAATGAAGGGCTCATGTCTCCAGTGGTCTAGCAGGATTGTCCTTGGAAACGATCCCTGGAATATTTGTTAGTTTAGGAAGCAAGCTGCCCCCTTCTTCAACTCGTAATTGCAAAACGCCAAGATGGAAGGATCTTGATTGGGAGCTTTTCTTTGCAAGTGGATCAGTTCCCGCTTGCTACTCTTGCCTCTGACTCTGAGGAGTCCTTTGCAGCAGTCTTTGCTGTTTGAGGGCGCAACTTGGCTGTATCTTGATGCATGCAAGGCAGAAGGCCAGACCTGGAAGTGTAAAACCCGTTCTGAAATTTTCAGATCTTGTCACATCAGCTTCTTCTTGGCGTGCTTGGTTGCCTGCTCAATTCAGGGCAGTAACTCATGGGGCAGGGATTGCTTCATGATTGGTGCTAAACATGTGTAAACGCTTCTCCATCTTCTAAATTTCTGAAAATTTTGACTGATAGTTCACAATATCTGGATCGGCCCCCTTTTGAATCCTACCCCGATTGAAAGAAACTGTGTACCCCTCTGCAGGGAAAGCTCTCGTGTGGTCTCTTCTCCGAGCCCCAGACTGATTCTGCTCCAGCAATCACGTATCCCCCTGGCGACTACCAGAACCGGCATCCGCTTGAACCATACCCACTAGGGGCAACCTCCCCAGGCATCGGAGTCTCCTCTGCAGCTGTTTCAGGCATGAGTCCTAACAGCTCCACCCTGCCCCCCCTGGTCCAGTCAGAAGAAGCAGACCTGGCCGAACCCCCCTCGAGGCGCCACCGCAGCCGCAACCCCCTCAAGAGGCTCTTCTCAAAGTCGCTCAGCAAGCTCAAGCACCGCTCCGCATCTCAGCCCCCCTCCCCAGACCGCATGTCGTCATCCTCCGAGGCTAGCGGTTCACACAAGCTGTTCAGAAAGAGTCGTTCTGCTTCACAGCCCCCCTCTCCTGAGCGCGGCTCATTCCCTCCCCCCCACCGTGGATGGTTCTCTTCAAAGTCGTCCAAGAAGGGAACGAGCCTGCCGACCACACCAACAGGGAAGGGGTATGGAGAACCAGACTCGCATGCTCGGAGGCCAAGCGGATACTACTACCAGGTAGACGTTGTGCCAAGTCTCTCCCCAGTCCCCTCGTGGCTCCCCCCCCAAACTGCGCAATCCGGATCCCCAGGGCCTTCTACTGGGCAAGCAGAAGACCTCCCCACGACTCCGAGGGGGGCAAATCACGGGGCAAGAGGACCCCCCTGGAGCGCGCCAACAACACCCCAGTCGCATGAAGTCGTCCAGTGGAGCGGACCGAGCACTCCGACAGTCACGGAAACGCCCCCCTCAAGCGGCCCTAGCAGCCCATTGCCAACCGGGGTACATCAGTGGAACTCCCCGGGCAGTCCGGCGGGTGCAGAAAGCCTAAGCCAGAGTGCGGAAAGCTTAACCCAAAGTGCGAAAAGCTTACCCCAGACTGCAGAAACCCTCCCCCAGAGTGCCCTGGAAAGTCCAACGAGGGAAAGTGGGCAGAGCATTCCTCCTGCACCCGATAACAGCCCTTTGCAGCAGTCTAGTTGGCAGACGTACGGCGACACACCGGCTGTGACGTCATCCCCGATCAGCGAGGTCCGAGTTCAGGGGGGCAGATCTCCCCGCCTCGAGGACCCCCTTGTGTTCGAGGTGCCTGTGCTAGGGCTGCCCCACGAGAGGAGCGGAGAGCTGTCGGCGAAGGCTTCCGCTTTCAGTTTGGAGCAAGAATCCGGGAAAGAGGAAGCCCTGTCGCCGATCTCGGTTATGGACCGCAGCGGTCACGAAAGCCCCAGCATGCAAGATGGGGGTACGGTTCTCCATCCTTTGGAAGACATTTCTGAGGAGCCACTCTATGAGTCCCCCTCCGAGTACGAGGATGCAAACGACGGTCTACGCACAGAGGGGTCCGGGAACACAGACGAGGCAGCTGGCGAAGCGGGAGTTGAAGACTCGCAGGCGGCGGGTGGTGAGGAGGGTGTTCACACCGGCAGCAACGTAGTCGTCACCCCTGTGGTGGAGCAGAATGTGAATACGTCCTTGGGAGTGGACGTCGAGACAGGGGTGGAGCCGGAACGAGACGAGGCGGAGGAAAACCTGGCGAGGAAGGTGGGCTTTGTTGAAGCAATTGAGGCGCAAAACGAGAAGGGTTCTAGGCTCTTGGAAATTGAGGAGCCCAACGTGACCAGCGAATGGAAGAAGGCAACGGTTGCAGAGCTTGAGCAGCAGAATGATGGGGGGCTAAAGGCTGAGAAGCAGGGTCGGAGCGGATTGAGGGAGGAGGAAAGAGCTGAGTCCTCGAAGATGCAGAACAAGACGGCTGTCAAAGCGTTGGAGTTTGACGAGCACGACGAAGGCGCAGTGAGGGGGGATGGAAGTGCTGAACTGTTTGAGCTGCAGAATAAAGCGGAGACTCTGACAGCGGAGCGGGGCGAAAGCGGAGTGAGGGAGGAGAGAGTTTTAGATTTGGCCGAGCGGCAAAACAAGACGGATCGCGAGACGGCGGAGTTTGCGGAGCATAGCAGAAGTGAAGTGAGGAAGGAGGGCAATGCTGAGATGCTCAAGCTGCAGGATGAGACGAAACCCAAAAGCGGTCCCAAGGAGCCCGGCGAGAGCGGGGTGGAGAAGGTGGGGGGTTTCGGAGCCCCTGAGCCGCAGGATGAGACGAGATTGGAAACAATTGAGTCTGAGGATCGCCACGGAAGCAGGGTGAGGCAGGCGGGAGTGGCTGAAACCCCTGAGCCAAACAACGAGACAGAGGACTTTGGGGAGCGCACCGGAAGCGGGGACTGGAAGGAGGGACTGGGCGCCGTCTCTGAGCTGATGAGCAAGATCGTGAGGAGCGGACGCGAAGGAGTTGGAGGTGCTGCACGGGTTTCGGTTCCTGCGAGCGGCGAGGAACAAGGGGTGGAGGAGAGCGGAACTGGCGGAGCTGACGGTCCTGCAGCTGAGGTAGAGAGGGAAGCGGTTTTGGTGCCCGGGAAGACGGCGCTGCCTGAGCAGGATCCAGCGGAGGGCGTCCGCGAAGGTAAGGCCACTCCGTGGGCATTCCAATATTGTTTGAAGTACTCTGTTCGTCAACAATTTGTCTTCCTTCTTTTCTGAGAAGGGTCGCGGGTTGTTCACCATGTTGGAGTCGAACGCACTGTTTCTCAACGAGCGTCCGTTTTGTCTCAACATCCTACTGGTCACAGGACACTATTCCACCCATTTCCGGGTTTGCTTGAGCTTCTTTCAATTTGCCGTCTTTCAATTTGCCGTCTCTGGTTGACTTCTACACTACTGGATTCATCCAGGATTTCGTTCGCCTCTCAAACCGCTTGTTGCAAGCATGCTCTGCGCTAAAATCCTGCTCGGATTCGGAAAGGATCGCTTGCGTTCTGCCTCCCAGCTAAAAACTGCAGACCAAAGGCCGAGGCGAGGATTGCAGACGATGGCGGTTGGAAAATATTGCACGCCGTCATGCTCCAGGTCGCATCTGGATGAAGCCTCTTGCACCGTCGAAAGGACCCACCGTTTGAATCTCATTTTGCGAGGTTATCAAGAAGCTTCTAATCTAATGTGCTTGTTATGCTACTGGACTTCTTAGATTCTGAAATCCCCCTTTCGTGCGTGTCAAGGGCGGACCGCCATCTCCCTCGGCCCTCTTCATCATTGTGCACACAGCAAGACCTTTTGAAAAAGGGAAATCTGCCGACTGGATGCCAGTGCTTCGACTGGTACGCTTTTACGAGACTTCCGAGAAGTTTACTTTTGAACGCCCCTGCTCTTTTCAGAACTCGATACTATGAAAACCCCTGCTCTTCTGCACTTTCCTGCGCTGAATGTTTAGAGGCTCTTTCGATACCCGCTGTTTCAGTTTCTGGATTCGAAATGAGGTTTCTGGCAGCGAAATTCATCGGCTCGCAAGCGCAAATTAGCTTTTCGGATGCGGTCAAACCAGAGCCATGTCAGCCAGTCGTTTCAGGTCCTAAGCACTCAAGCTTTTACGCAATTGTCTGGCTGTGTCTCGCAGCCGTTGTCTGGCTGCGCACGTCCTGATTCTGTAGCCTGCTGGTCGTTTGCTTGCTTCTACTGCTGTAAGGAGCGCTCTGGAAAATTCCAGCGACCATCCTTGTAATCTTGGCACCTTTTGGCGTATCTATCGATACAGAGGTTATGGCATCGACAGTCCCGGCAATGATTCATAACCTTGGCAGGCATCCGCTGCCACTTCCGCGTCCGCATCCGCATCCGTTCTGAGCCACTAAGCAGTCTTAAGAGCTGTTGTGGCCGCAACCGTTTCTTATGAATCAGCAGCCAACTTTGTTGTACTGGGTTTTCTGTATCTTGAATCAATTTTGATCTTGACACGATGGAGCTTATGAGTTTCACTATTAATTCGGCCGCTCTTGTGGCAACGAGATTGTAGAAAACGAGGTCGGTTTCTCCAGAGGAGTGCAGCAGGACAATGCAGGTGGTGGACTGTGACTTCTTTTCAGAAATGGTTCAGTGCGTACGCTACTTAACATTCCTGCCCGTCGTGCCATCCCCCACCGCCTCTTGAATTGCTGCCGCTTGCTTTTCCCGCAATTTCAAAAAAAACGGAATTCATGATTCGCAAGTCGCCGCTCATCTCTTTTATGACAAAACAGCTGAAAGTAGGTTCCACTGGCTTTTGTGCGGTTTGTGGCGAGGATGTAAAAGACTGGGGGAAAAAAGCTCCACTGTACGGCAGTTCTAGAGCCCGCTTGAGAGGCTAAACATTCATTTCATCGACCTCAAAGTGTATGTTTCGCTTCAACGTATGTTCTTTTCAGGCCCTTGTCGGCTCGATTCGAGGCGCTCTTTTACTTGCTCTCTGCTAGGAGCATCCGTGTATCTTTCAAGGCATAGATTTAGCATACCTCCCAGGAAACCTGCCTGCCGGTCTGACTGCAGTCTGTGACATTCGTCTTTGGCTGCTGTTATCCATTTATCCTTCCTTTCTTACGGTGGTGTGGCAAGGACGATCGTCATTGGCCTGGCAATAAAGGTCACATCTGCTTCTTGACACACGGTAAAGCCAATTTCTGCCGCTTCTGATGTCAGTGACACTACTTCGCTTGGTTCTGACTTCAGTGACACTATTCGCTTGATGCTGTTGTCAGTGACTCTATTCCCGCTTCGAGAACAGCAAAACCTCCTCCGCAGTTCAAGCTCCTGCTGTACGCCTTGGTAGTCCTTTTTTGGAAGCGGCTCGTTTCTGGCCGCAGTGTCAACATTGAGGGGCAGTCGTGGAACTCCCTTGGTAGCATGCCCTCAGCGACTGCTGCATACTGGCCTGTTTCCGCTTCTCGAGACGGATTCCTTTCGACCTTCTTCAACTAATGGCGGCGAATGTTATTCTGCCTGACTTGAGGTCTTCGGTTCTTCCAAGTGTGGCGACGAAGAGACAAGGCTTGACATCCGGTCAAGATGTTGACGCTCAGAAGATGAGCCACCTTCCAGACAGAAATTTCTTGAATCAATCTTTCAATTTCCTTGCAAACTGTGTGTCAAAGCTCCCTTTGGAGCGTTTCCTTACGTCAGTCGTTCGCTTGGTTCTTCACTGGTCCTAGACTTTTGCAGCTTTTGGGAGCAGTTCGAACGAGTTGAGGACGAAGCGATGCTTAGCGCCCAAGTGTCTGGTGGAGCACTGCTGTTCGGTCCGGGGGACAATGCATGCTGGGGCCACTGATCGTTGAGTCTATCTCTTTTAAGTGCTAGGATTTTTCCAGCCTTCAGGTTTCCATCCTCACTAGCAACGACTGGGAAGTGTCCGTGTTGAGCAGTACATGTGACCGCCTAGTCTTCTGTATCCATGTTTCACGGAAGGCTGTGTGGCGCTCTTGGATTATCAAGTCTGTCTTGCTAACGCTGCCGCGGCAATGACGTGTTGTCTGGTGACAGCATCTTGCTGCCAGTGCTGCTTATCGTGAAGTCCTATATTCACGCCCGATGCTGCATCTGGAAATCTGGGACGTGTACTTATTTAGTAGATGCTGGCCATGGTCTATCAGAAATCACGAACGTGTTCAAGAGAGGCTTCACAATTTGAGCAGATTAGAGCTTCGCTACACTAAGGGTTGTTTCTTTGGATCAATCCTGTTCGCTGTCGTATAAACCTATCGGTTAACCTCAGCCTTTCTAGATTCGCTGTCGCACGCTGTTCGTCTTTGCTCTTTCCAGATCGTCACATCTAGGTGTGATCTTCGTGCTTGTGAGAGGTCTTCTCCTTGACCATCGCGTGGTGACGACCGTTGTTAAAGGTGCCTGTGAGAAGACAACATCGAGCTTTATCATTCCGCAGTCTCTTTCTGAAAACTGTCCGGTCAGTATCTTTATCTCTCCCTACGGTCCCTAAGGAGTTCTGTGTTTGAGTGGACTTTGCACCTCCGTAATAAAACCGGTTTGGCTTTGTCGCTTTTCTCGCTCGTGACAAAGAAGACAGCCCGGCAGAATGCAGCTGCCAGTGACATTTTCCTCCAAGCATTGAGCCACCTCGTCTTGAGACGTGGGCGACCTCTTTTGGTCGTTTCTATGCTAATTTGGCTATGTTTGCTCTCCTTTTCCAAATCTCTTTTTCGCCCCCTTGGCTCGTCCACTTTAGCTGCCAGCTCCGAGATGCTTGTTTTTGTCGTAAATTTTTAATGATCTACAAAGTAAAGGAACAATCAAAGGAAACGTTTCTTCCCCTTGTCTCGTACGCTTTTGTTTGTCCACTTTCGAACAATCACTGTCGATTCCATTCCGCCTGGTAAGCATTCTCTTGTGTGATGCGCGTGGCAAGGATGACGTCATGGCCGTCAGTGCCACACACATGTCGCGGAATTGTCATATGCCAGATGTTGTTGACGGACGTCCAAAAGCAACACGGTCTGACAGTAGGATGGGCGCGCAACTAGATGGTGTGATGGAACTGACTGGCTCGGTCAGTCAGTAGTAATTTTCTGCAATTCCCATTCCGCTCCCCCCCATCGCCCAGCAGTGTTCTGTTGCACTCCGAACGGCAATGATGACGTCGGTTGGCATTGCCTTTCTTTGCCACCTGATACTGCAAAGCCAGTTGTTGTTTACAGACGCTCAGATGGAAACGCGATAAGAAGCTAGAAAGGAGACGGAGAGATGGAAACGCGACCCACTCGCTTAGTCCGCTTGTCCTCTTTCCTTTCCTTTGTTTACCTTTCTTTCCCTGTTTGTTCCTTCCCTTTCCTTTCCTTTCCTTTGTTTGCGCTAATGGCCCCACTTGTTTGGAGTCTTTGTTTCAGTGCGCATGGCAAGGCTGACTTCAGTGGGCCTGGCCGTCAGTCCCACCCATACTTCATGAAGCCAGCTCTTGTTGATAGACGTTCCGATAGAAAGGCGATCTGACAGTAGGATGGAAACTCGACTACACGTTCAGACGGATACATAACTGACTGGCTTGGTCCACTTTCTTCTTGTCCCTGTGATTCTTCATTCGCTCATAACCCCACTGGTTGAAAGTCTTTGTTGCGGTGCGCCTGGTAAGGATGACGTCGAATGACATGGCCTTTGGTGCCACTCATTCATCACAAGCCAGCTGTTGTTGACAGACGTTGAGAGAGAACTCGATTGGAAGGAGGATGCAAACGCGACTTGACGTTGAAATGGATATATGACTGACTGTTTTTGTCCATTGTCCTCTTTCCCGTGACTGTTCGTTGCGTTCATGCGCCCTTCGGTTAACACTCTCTTTTGAGGTGCGCGTGGCAAGGATGACGTGGCATGGCCGTCAGTGCCATCAAGTGCGTTCAATGAAGCCAACTGTAATTGAAAACGTTGAGGCGAATTGTAGGATGGAAAAGCGACTAGATATCAAGATGGAAACTTGAGTGGCTAGCTTCGTCCGCTGTTTGCTTCTGCCTTTGAAGTCCTCCGTTGCAGTCATGCGCACTTCGGGTAGCAGTCTCTTTTTCCGGTGCACGTTGCAAGGATGACGTCTGTTGGCATGGCCGTCAGTGCCACCTGGAAGCGTTTGCTGAAGCCAGCTGTAAAAGAAAGACGTTGAGAAATGCGATCTCGACGCTAGGATGGAAACGCGACTAGACGTTGAGACGGACACTCGACTGGCTCACTTAGTCCGCTCTCCTCGTTTCTCCTGTGACTTCCCGTTGCATTCGTGCCTGGACTGCTTAGTTGTTTTTTGTACGGGGCACGTGGCAAGGATGACGTCTGTTGTCATGGCCGTCAGTGCCATCCTCGTGCAGTCAGCTGAAGCCAGCTGTTTTAAAAAGACGTTGAGATGAACACACGATCTAACCCGGTAGGATGGAAACACGTCTAGACGCTGAGACGAACTTGTGACTGACTTGCTTGGTCCGCTATTCTTTTCTGCCTGTGTTGCTCCGTTCTACTTATGCCCCCATCGGTTAGCAGTCTTCGTTGTGGTGCGTATGGCGATGATAACCGTGGTTGGCATGGCCGTTGGTGCCACCTACGTACGGCTTGTTTGAGTCGAAGCCAGCCAGAAAGACAGACGTCAGGATAGAACGCGACTACACGTTGAGATGCAAGCGCGACTTAACAATTTGGAAGGAAACGCGGTTGACCCTCTTCGTCTTCTGTGCTTTTCATCCTGTGACTCCCTTTTCGCAGAATCTTTGAGTAGAATCCGGTGTGTGACAATAAAGGGCAGGCTGCAGGTCTTTCGAACAATTCGAGTGCGGCAGTTTTCACACCTTTTCCACGTCCGCACGGTTGCTCGAGCCGTCGTTCGCCTTCAGCGTACTTCACACGACGTCCCTGCAATTTTTGCCGCTTAATCGCCTAACATTTAACGAGACCCCATTGCTTGAGCGGTCGTGGGGTTTCTGCTAGTACCGTGGCAAAGACGACAGAAGCCTGGTCTGTGCAACTTGCCACGCCTGCAATGCTGCTTGATCCAAGCCACCGATTCTTAAAGGATGAGCTTAGCGCGCGTCTCTTCAGGAGCTAAACGCCGTTGGTTCTGGTGTGTCGTTTTTTGGCTGTTGTCATCTCCTCAGGCTCTGGTTTGTCGCTTTTTGGCAAAGACGTAGGAGGATTGCACACCGTTGCTGCCACTCATCGGGACGTTTCTGAGCCACTGTGTCAAGAAAAGCAAACTAGTAAAACGGCCGTTACTTGGTCGTACCACTTATTGTCAGCCAAATCATGTCCTGTTCGATTCTGCTCCACATGCTTTGCGGGTTCATCAAGGGGCGTTACTGAGTCCTGAGTTTGGATTGAGTGATTGTAAAAAGCCGCCGTGGCGATGACGGATTCTGCTGGTTGGCGTTCTCCTCTGCCAGATGCTCGTGTCTCGCACTAAAGCCAGAGGTTGCGACAGGACTCTGAATACCCGATTTTGGTTCTTGTTAGATTGCTGATTTCAAGCTTGCTGTTTGCTAGAATATGGACCAAAGACTCCGGTTTTTACCCTTATGGTTGTTTCTCTGAATGTCATCCGCGGTTCGTGCCCTGATTGTGGATGCCCTTTGTTGTCGAGTCGTGACAGAAGTTACGTTCGTTGGGCTTTCTTGGAAAGCTACCCATGTCGTGAAGTGAAGTGACGCCTTACAGGTATCGAGAGCAGACGAAACGAGACTACCTTGCTCTGGTCTTTGCTTTCAGGGATCCTTACGCAAGAATCTTGTGGAAGACAATCTAGATACTCAACTGACCACTATAAGCCGCCTCTGCCCAAGTGCAATGTCCTTCTGCTCAGCTTTCTTGGCACGTTCCCTGGCTCAAAAGCGACCGGAAAGCGCAAACCAATTTGCTCGGGCTTCTCTTGAGTCGCTGCCTGAGTATCAATGGCTAAGGATGACAGAGTTTTGACACACCCGTCCTGGAACTGCTTTTTCGTTGGGTCACTCTTTTTGTAAATCTGATTACAGGACACTGTGCTTGACTTGTCTGCTGGTTCCGCTGAATGTGCTCACTTCGCGCGATGTCTGTCTTACTGCCATTTTTGGTACAGTCTTGACCGCCACCGCTGCTTGTTTCCTTAACCTTTCCTGTGTTGCCCGTCTATAATTGACAAGAGCGTGCAATGACTTGCAAAACGGGTTTGGGTGCGTGACCTGCCTTGACAAACGGAGCAGCAGAGCTTAAGGACTGTGGCTTGTTGGATTAAAAGTGGGCAGTCCATTACGCCTCTCTAGCCCATCTTATGTAGTCAGCCATTTTTCTTTTCGTTCCGAGCACCGTATGCACGTTGGGCTCAACATCATTCACTCGCCAGTGGCTAGGATGAAAACTGCCGGTGGTGCTGCTGCCGAAGGATTGCGTCGTGACAGCTACTCAGATAAAAAACGAGTTCAAGACTGAAATCGGGAGTTGCGTGACTCTCAACCGACAATCTTCGCTTGGTTCTCACTAGAAGCTGACCGTAAGTGGCTTGAAAGCAAGTTGAGCCACTCACATACGCCGCTCGTCTGGCAATCAAGTCGAGCGAGTTGTTTTACTTGTGGTGTGGTCTGATGGGCTCTGCTGTTGGTCGTGGAATAACCTGCACAGATTTGCGGGTTTTGGATTTTTGCTGGCAAGGATGAACAGCTTGGCAGACTTGATTCTACCACGCTTCCTTGTTAGATTTTGAAGCCACCTTGAATACGACCGTCTGCCTCTTCACTATTCTTGTTTCTGACGGATCGCAAATGTGTGACGTCTTTGTTTGGTGAAGTTTCTAGATTCCATCACTGCCTGAGCACTTGGTTCACACTGTGCAGGTTAGGAAGTTGCCTGAGTAAGCTGCTATTCTATTGCATACTTTGGCGACCCAATTATGCTCGTCTGAACAGTTCTCAGTGGGATTCTCAGAAAGTAAGACGGGCACGTTGCATGAAAAGAAAGCGCTGCTTATCAGTTGAGCAATTTTTCTACAAAAGACAGTGGTTTTTCCGTGGCTGAATCAGCTAGAAGGCTTTTTGGTCTGACACAATTTTACGACATTAAGGGAGCTTTAGCGACGCCCTCTGTTTTCACTTCTCGCTTTCAATAAACAGGAGCCCAGCGCTCTTTCCAAGCCCCGCGACTCCATCAATGATTTCTGATCTCTCAGCTTCTACGTTCCCTATCTGACTTCGCGTTCCTTCGTACCTCGGCTTTATCTTTGACACAGTTCCTCCGTTGCTCCTTTTCCTTTCCAGAGCCCCCATCCCCCTCGCCCTTGATTCGCAATCTTTTATACGATTGTAACCAGTTTGACTCATTTCCTTCTTTTGCTTCCTTTCCTTTACAGATATCCACTTTGAGCGCACCGATGACGAGAGCGGCGACACGCACGTCACCCAAGGCGCCAACGAAGACGAGCGGCAAAACCCCGGACGGATCAGCGCCGGAATCCGGGAACTGGTCACCTTCTTCGAAGCGGAAGCGTCCAAACTGCTGGGAACACACTCTGCTAGGCAGAACAACAGCCCGGAGAAGAGCAAACGCCCGGGGACAGAAACTGACGACGAGCTGGGGCCGGTTGGGGCGGAGCCGGAATCCGCCATACCTGTGGAGACCCGAACGGAATGGAACGGAAGCCCAGTTGACGAATTCGCGTCACAGCAGCCCGCTTTTGTGGAGCGGGAGAGTGCGCTCTCAGCGGATGCGCCACCGTTCGAACAGGGTCTGGTTGGTGCAGGGCCGGAATCCGCTGTGCCTCCGGAGGACGGAACTGAACGGAACGGAAGCCCAATTGACGAAGTCGCGTCACAGCAGCCCACTTTTGTGGAGCGGGAGATTGGGCTCTCAGCGGGTGTGCCACCGTTGGAGACGGGGCCGGTTGGTGCGGAGCCGGAATCCGCCGTGCCTCTGGAGAGCGGAACGGACCACAACGGAAGCCCAGCTGAAGAGGTCACGTCACAGCAGCCCGCTTCTCTGGAGCGAGAGAGTGGGCTCTTACCGGATGCGCCGTCGTTCGAGATGGGGCCGATTGCTGCAACGCCGGAATCCGCCCTGCCTCCGCAGACCGGAACGGACCAGAACGGAAGCTCAGTGGATGATGTCACGTCACAGCAGCCCGCCTCTGTGGAGCGGGAGAGCGGGCTCTCAGCGGATGCGCCGCCGTTTGAGATAAGGCCGGTTGGTGCAGGGCCGGAATCCGCCGTGCCTCTCGAGACCGGAACGCACCAGAACGGAAGCCTGGTTGAAAAGGTCGCGATGAAGCAGGCCGCTTCTGTGGAGCGGGAGAGTGGGCTCACAGCGGATGCGCCGCCGTTTGCGATGAAGCCGGTTGGAGCAGAATCGGAATCCGCCGTCCATCTGGAGACCGCAATGGATCGGAACGGAAGCCCAACTGATGATGTCACGTCACAGCAGCCCGCTTCTCTGGAGCGGGGCATTGGGCTCTCAGTGGATGCGCCGGCGTTCAAGACAGAGCCGGTTGGAGCAGGGCCGGAAGCCGGTTTTCCTCTGGGGACCGAAACGGACCAAAACGGAAGCCCAGTTGACGAAGTCGGGCCACAGCAGGTTGCTTCGCTCGAGCGCGGAAGTGCGCTGTCGGCGGATGCGCCGCCTTTCGAGGAGGATGTCGTTGGTACACGGCCAGATTCCGCTGTGCTTCCAGAAACCGCAATGGAAGAGAACGGAAGCTCAGTCGCGTCTCTGGGGCGCGAAAATGGGCCGTTAGCGGTTGCGCCGCTGTTCGAGAAGGGTCCGGAAGGTGCCACCGCGTTAGCTGCCGGTGGGCTGGAGGCTCCTCAGCCAGCGGAAGCAACGGAACGAGCGGAACGAGCGGAGCCGTTGAGATCCGTTGACCTGAACTTCGGTTGTTTGCTGGGAGCATATCGGGCCCAGCAGACGAAGCAAAAGCCAGACGTGTCCCCCGTCGCGAAACAGGACGCTTCCCCTGGGAGCGGCGAGAGTGAGCTGAAGATGCTTCCGGCGGATTCCGTTGCCAGGTCGGGTGGCAAAACCTGGCCGGAATGGATGTCGCCGGCGGTTACGAGCGGAATCGGGGAACGGAACGGAACCGTGGCGGACGGAGAAGGGGGTGTTGGAGCGGAATGGACGGGAGAGGGCGGGGAGCTTGGAGCGAGCGGAATGGTGCGGGACAGTGCAGTGAGGAAGAGCGGAACGAGGGAAGGAAGGAATGAGGGCGGAATGGTAGGAGGAGAGAAGCACGACGGGGTTGGAATGCAGACCGGAACCGTTGAAGGAGAGAAGCGGAACGGCGCTGAAGGAGAGGAGGAGAGCGGAACGGTCGGAGGAGAGGAGACGAGCGGAGCGCTTGAAGCAGAAATGCAGAACGGAATGGTTGGAGGGGAGAAGTACAGTGAAAGGATTGGTGGAGAGACGGAGGGCAAAAGGGGCGAAGAAATAGGACGTTTCGAATTGGATGTAATCGCTGAGGAGGATAAGACGTCTGGAAAGGCTGGAGCCGAGGAGGATCGTGGAATGGACAGCGGGAAAGAAGTTGCGGTTAGGGAAAGTGCTGGTGAGGAAGACGAAGGTGGGTTTGAGACGAGCCTAGCCAAGAAGGTCGGGAGTAAGGACCGGAATGTGATCAAGGAGGAAACCGGAGTCGACGGGAATGGGAACGAGAACGAGACGTTTTTTGCAGAACGGAATAGAATGGCGAAAGAGACCGGGTTTGTAGAGAAGATCAGCACCGCGGAAGAGAGGAAACCTGTGAGAGAGAGCGGGGAAGCGACAGGAAACGGAACTGCGGAGCAAAGCGGAACAGCGGAGCAAAGCGACGACCCACACCAAAAAGCAAACGAGAGCGGGACTGCGAAAGCGGAGGGGCCTGCAACCGAAGGCGGAAATGCGCAAGAGGTCGAGATCTGGAAAGAGGGCAAACCCGCGGAAGGCAGCGACATCGCTGACAACATGGGCATTGCAGTTGAGAAACACGCGGAAGAGAGCGCGATTGCGGAAGACAACGGAACTGCTGTAAAGAGCGGAATTGTAGGCGAGGAGACAATTTGGGAAGCGGCGGGGATTGAGGATGTGAAAAGGACGTCAGCAGAACAAGATGGAAGTCAGCAAAAGGAGGAGACTGGGGCAGAGGACAGAATCGATGAAGACGGGACCGAAGACGGGATTGAGGTGGAAAGTGAAAACACGGGAACGGAAGAACAAACTGGAGCGGAAAACAAGACTCCTGAAGACACCGGAAAGGAAGTCGGCAACGTGACGTCAAACGAAAAGGTCGCTGGGGGAGAGAGCGGAGCGTCTGTCGGAAGCGGAAACGGAACGCCAAGCGGAAGCGTGGGCGGAAACGAATCTGCAAGAGACGCCATGCTAGATCCCTCACGCGAAGCACCGGTGGAGGCTGGCCTGGGAGCGCCAAGGAGCAGCCACGTGGAGGGCCGCAAAGGGCGCCACGTGGACTCGCAGGAAGGCCAGATCGGAGGGATCGAGGAGGACGTCGAGAGCACCGGCGCAACCGGCGGGGCAACGAAGGATGACGTCATCGATGACGCGGTTTCCCGGAGGAGACGGGCGGTGCACTGGCGGGCTGACGTCAGCACGGGCCCTCAGGAGTTGGGCGAGCGGGTAAGCTTTCCTTCGTTTTCTGAGTTAAGGTTTCTTTTTCTCGGTCTGATTAACCTACGTCTTCTTCCAAGCCCTGTCGCTTCCTGTCCATGTGCTCACATCTATCCCCTGGCTCCCTTGAGAATGTCTCATTTCCGGATTGTTTACCTAAAAGGGAGGGAAGCGAAAGATCGAAGATGTTCGACTTGTGACGAGGAGTGCGAGAAGCAACATTTGCCAAACTCAATAATGAAACTTGTAAGGGGCAGGAATCTTGTGGAGCAAAGGTGCCTACTTTCGGAGGAGTGCGTCTATGTTGAACCGTCCGACAGAGGAATGGTCTTCTGAGACTCGCTCGTCTGGAGACAGTCTGCTTTCTGAAGCCTCCTCTTAATACCGAGCAAAAGGACGATCTCTGGCCCACCGAGTTGTCCAGCGGAACCCATTCTGAATATACATCGCTTTATGTTGAGTCGCCTCGTCTTCGTTTCAAGCAGGCACCTGACAGCGATCCGGGCCCGGCTCGGGGACGCGCCGCCATCCAAGCGCGGCCCGCACAGCCCCCCCCCCACCCGGTGATCCAGCTGTTGCTAGTGGGCGGTATTCTGGGGAAAGCGGCCGTCAAGACAGGCGTCGGGCTGACGTATATAACGCTGCAGCAGTGCGGGGTGTTAGCGAAAGTTACTTCCAACATGGTTCTGGACGACGCGAAAGGGATGGTCGGTATGTTGGCCAAGCAGGCTGGCCGGGTGATCGGCCTCGAGAAGCGCGCGCGATTGTTCGGATGAAACGAAATCAAGCCACGTGTCCGAGGATGAGGTTTGGGGGGTGCGGGAGAGATTTTTGCAAGGAAGTTACTGATGGCGGAAAGATTGTTCGCAAGCGCAATTGTAGTAGTTACCATTAGAGGGACGATATTGTTGTGAACTTAGCGGCACAGATATTGCGATATGGCGACCACATCACAGAACATTGGACCGCGTGTATTTTACACGACAGCTACAGATAGGCTTGACTCGAAATAACACATCCCGCAAGCACAGGAGAGCAGACGTGATGAGTCGGAAAAACAAACGCTGTACACTACCATTACGACAAAGCTAATCGTGCTGTAGAATGTATCCGCAGCAGCGTATTTTCTGTATACAAAAGCTGCAGATTAGACGAGTAGTCGTATTGGCGGCCAATTTGATAGAGCCTCTCTGCTTGTAAAACTAGCTCGACTTACTGAATCATTCAACATTGAATTCAAGCTACTGTCGCGTGGTAAGTACAATTGATGGACACGTACACCCCGGCCTGGAATGCATCCGACTATCTTGAATCAAGTATTAACTGGTGATCCCGGCGTTCAATTCGATGATGTCTGCGGTGTTGTATATCTATCGAACTTGATCAAGTGACATCATGCATGGTTGACGGCTTTGGGACTCGCAACAGATTGCGCATGTTTGAGAGTGTCTGATGAAGACGGAACTGAGGTTCTCCCGATCTTGGTTGTCCGAGCGTTTGCATGTTTAGCACCCCATTACACACACCTGAAAGTGGTATGATCAAGACTGTTCAAAGCCGATGCAGACGGTCTACTACTCCAAATAGCGCTTACGAGTTTTGACGTGCCCAGTCCACGAAGAGGCATATCATACACATTTAGTCGCAGCTATTGCAACAATTTAGGAAAAGGAACAAACGATCTGCACACACATGCAAGACAGAATCATGCTTCTTTGCCCCATTTCGGGCGCACCCTGTTCCAGAGTTTGATAGCGCCCATTTCAAAGTACTGCCAATCGCTCATTTCTCCTGCAGCAGACAAGGGCAGAAAGCCAATCAGTGGTTGACCTGGTGGAACTAAACACTGAAACGCTGCAGGGAGAAGATTTGCAAAACGAGAGACCGTGCCGGGTAAGTCAGCCAGGTTCTCTGGTTCGTGATTCCCCCGCGCCAATACCACGACTGTCTCAGCCGTGGAGAGCTAACACCGCAATAGTACGTGTAACTTGGAATGTTCTTCCCCCTTCCCGTCTCCTAACAAAGAAGCTGCGAATGAAAGGGCACACCAACTTTTGTGTTATCTGCGTACTCTACTTCGTCAGGCAGTGGGCAGTGCAGACGAATCGCCGAGGCTCCGGGCGTAACAAGTACGTGAAACGATCCGCCAGTCTGTCATTTGACGCCGACCATAGTTGATGGCTTACTTCGAGGGCGGTGCGCCCCCTTCTAGCTACACAAATACTTTCTGCTTGCTGGTCTTGCGGTTCGAACAGTTTCCACAGATTGGCATATCATCAAGTAAAAATAATCCTGGATTTCCGACCGTTGCAAGAAGCTGTCAGGAACCCAGCAGCACTTCTCAGAAGTGTATAACGGTGGGTTTATCGGTTATGACTGTAGATTTTCAGGGTTATCTTCTAAACTTCAGCCTTAGGGCAACAAACCTCGGTTCAGAGTAGTTCGGGATCCCTAACTCGATTCCTAACTTGCTGCTAGAGATTGGCACTTACCCCGTCTGTAAACCCGGTACCTCCGGTTCCCTTTGAAGTAAGTTATGGTCGGATTCATCAAAAAGATGATGGGAGAACTCGGAGGCAGATCAGCTACGATGATGCGACACTGGTGTTCCCTCAGTTCTTCGTAGTCGACAATCCGTTTCCCTGCGTCCACCGTCAGCGTTGTGCCGGTGGGCGTGATGTAGACCCTAAAAGCAAGAAAAAAGTAGTATATTCGCCTCTTGGCGGTCGCTTATTCATTCTTTTCCTTTCCTTATCTTTTTTTGAATACTGAGCTCGCAAGAGGAGCTGTTACTTCGATAACCCCCTAAATCAATAAATGTCCAAGAAGAGTGGATGAATACATGCAATCAAAATAACTCGAGTCTTTGAAGTCGGAGATGAGAGTCTCTCCAAATAGCTTCCTCTCAACCGGGAGTGCAAATGAGATGGGGATGCTTATTGCATATGGGCCGGCCCAAGCTGTGGTCAATCCACTAAAGAAATCGAATGAGAAAGACGACAGGCCATCCAAACGACTCCCAGAACCTACGGACGAGGTTCAGAACATCAGGCTAAGAGAGAACAGAAGTGCAAGATGGGTTCCAGCAGATCGTACTGATCTTTACATCTGCTGACGGAGCTTGCAACCGAAGCGCCTATGAGCAGCCAACCCGATGGAACGCAGAGTCTTTGTGGAGGATGCAAGGCGAGGCATGGCCGCCATGCCAGTTCTTATATGAAACGCAAGAAAAATGATAACAAACCCAGGTAAAGATAAGCTCCGACTAACACTAAAACCCCCAACCCAAAAAGATAGCTGCTCCGAGCTGCTCCGCACCCATGCCCGGCCAAATCACCTAACTAAACCTGCCCGGCCCAGTGCAGTTATCTTCATATCATTATCTTGGCTTATCAGTATTCTCCTTGAGTTTGATGCCAGAAGTGCTGACCTCAGAGTGCTGAGGGGCTACAAGGAGATTGACGTCAGCCGCTCCGGTCCACTTACCATGCCTGCTGCCCCTCAAGGCCCTTCGGTCCAAGAGCCTCCACCTCCTCTTTGGTCAAGTACGGCCGCTCCCCTTCACCCGACGGAGGAGTCCCCCTCTGCGAAGTAACATCGGGAACAACAAAATGCAAAATAGAGCTGCAATATTTGAAACTGGCCTTCAAGCGCAGGGTTCCACACACCATTTCGGGTGGGGTAGACACTGTTTAAAGCTGAATCTTATTTCTGGCGGCGACCTTTGTGAATAAAGAAGGGTCTTCGCGTTCGTTACCAGAAAACTTACAAGCAAAGTAGTTCTGACACCTTGATGCTTGACGGAAAAGCAGGCCTTTCAAATGGCTGCAAGTAGGCTCACAACGGGCAACCAGATGCTCGCTTGACAAGATGGAATCTCAGCTACAATATTTCCAAGCATCCAGCTCCTGTGCATTTGACACTTTCAGGCCAGACTTCAAGAGCGATATATCTTTTCCAAATCACCTCTTCGTCGACCTTCTCAGCGGCCATCTCGCCGTTGTGCAACTGTGGGGCCTCTTCCTACTAGTTTGAGTCCTGCTTGATCAAATGCCCTGAAAACACAAGGAAAGATGGCCTATATTTCCAATCTACCGTACACCATCGATTCCTTCGCATGCTTGCCAACATTCTATTCGCAGTTGGTTAACATAAAAGTACAAGTGACAAAATCAGTCTCAGCTTACATACATGATAGGTACATTTCAAACTCCTCACTTAGACCACCGAGCAGATTTTGTTCGTTCTGACGCCTGAGTAGACCGGGCCCGCTCGTGCGTGCCGCGGCCGCCTTCCATCAGGCAGGGCCGAGGCGGCCTACCCAGGGTTTAGCCGGATTTCGTGGAGGGATCCCTTAAGACAGTACGGTGTAGCCTGAGGTACCATGCAAGCTCGCCGGGCTTACTCAGTTCGCGTAACGAAATTATTCAACGTCGTGAGTCACACAGTCACATGTCAACATGTACAGTGGGACAGTGGCGTCCTCCCCCTCTTGAACAAACGCGGCCTTGGCTTTCACCGCTCCGAGTCCAAGTGAGGATGTTAAAGCCACAGCTCAAGCCAAAGCTTGACGTTCTGTTCGCACGCGAGCCCTCATCAAGCTGGTTTCCTGTACAGATTGGAGTTGTCTAATTTGGCAGCTGAGACGACGGCTAACACCATGGCAGAGCCTGTCTGTTTGTTCGTTGACCTCCTTCTGTTCGTGAAGGCTGTCCAAACTTTTGTTGCCCTCCTGGGCCCACGTTGCTTTACACGCGTGTTCTAGAGCACCCCTTTGACACAGTCCTCGTCTACGTGACTGCTTTTGTTCAAGATACATTTCTGCATTAATACCTGGGTTAAGCTCTGCTTCACACACTGACATTGAGAGTCAGTATTGTAATATTGCGCATGTTCCGGCTTGTCTGCTTGATGCCTTTAGGGGAAAAATGACCAGGATAGCCTAGATGCTTTCCTGGCTGATCACCAGCAACTAGGGTGGAGAACTTGCAAGCAGCGAGCAGACCGTCATCAGATCATATTCTGGTGAAATTTGCCTTCTTCGTCCTGTGGAGGCCTTTGTCCACTCTCAGTCTCCTGCAGCTCCTGGGAATTGGGGCCCCGCTTAGGTAAGAGGCTGCAGGGATGAACTCCCGCCGAGATGAGCGCCAGATGGGTGAACGGAAGTCGCAAGGAATTCGAGACGCCGTTCTCCAGCAGAGTGACGAGTCACGTAGGGCTCTCCGGGGGCGAGAACGCGAGCTCCTGAGATGCGCTCGCCAGCAGGAGGGCCGCCGAGATGAGCGCCAGGTGGGTGAACGGAAGTCGCGAGGAAGTCGGGACGCCGTTCGCCAGCAGAGCGACCATCGTAGGGCCATAGGGCTCTCCGGGGGCGAGAACGCGAGCTCCTCGGGTCCACTCGCCAGAAGGAGGGCTCTCGAAATGAAGTCCTGGGGGAGGCACGCCAGCAAGACGACTCTCGTGAAGCGCTCTTGGTGCCGCCGGCGGGACTCTACTGGATCTCGAAAGTCGCCGGCATGGTCGTCAGCGGATGGTAGGAAGTCGCGATATAATGGCCCTCCAGAGGTCGTCAGCGGGTAAGAGGGGCCCGCCAAAAACGGTGCTGGGGCCGCCAGCGGATAGTAGGGAGCCGCCGAAAACGCTGCAGGGGCTGCCAGCGGATGGTAGGCAGCTCCAAAACTCGCGTGTGTAGTGGTCAGCGGCTGGTAGCTTGCAGCAGAAGTTGCTGGAGCCCAAGGCGCGGCCACCATGGGGAATGCTGGCTGGTACCGGCTGGCCAGCGCCATGATGATGTTGTCCTAGCGGCCGAAAACGCCGGTGCCGCGCCACCCTCCACGTTGATCGCCATCGTGGTGGTCCCGTAGATGTAGGCATTGGTTGAAAACGCTGGTCCCGGGTCATCTTCGCTTCTGGGTGGTGCCGCCACAGGAAGAAACGAGGGGACGGCTCCCGTATGCCAATACGGGGATTCCCATTTTAACCCTGCCATCGTACTCTCTCAAAAGGATCCCGTAAAACCCGGCCTCTGATACC